CCCCGTAGGTGCCGTCTAGCCTCGAGGCTACAGACGCCCGCCTGCCCGCCAAAGTGCCAGCCCAATGCGTGCAGGATGCTATGCAGCGCCTGTGTCAGGTAGTCCGATGTGGTAGGTACCATTCAGCAGCACGCCCGAGGTAGGGCGCCGGGAGAGTTGGTGAAGTCCAGCGGCAACTACAATCACACCGGGCCTCTCTGTGTGCTAGGTACCTACCTATAGGAGGTTAGGTAGGTAGGTACCTAGTATGTGCATAGGGTACGTGCTTCATCTGGCCTGGGCCAGAACGTGCTGCTCCGGTGTGGATGCATAAAATGGCGTTCGGATTGGATTTGCCCAGGTGGTCGCCGCCCGGTTGGGGCTTGCTGGAGGGTGAAAAACACGGGTCCGTTGAAACAACTCAACCTATATACATGTACATGCATGCACTAGGTACATCTCCCTGCCTAAGGTTGGCCGAAGTAGGTACCTCCTGACCTTAGGAAGGAGAGGTAGGTACGCTAAGTACCTCAGAGGCAGGTAGACCGGAGGTAGGTAAGTACCCAAGGTACCTGATGCATGCACATAATATGCCCATGTGTTTATGTCTATAGGTAGGTACCTACCTGCCTGCTACCAACCTATGCGTATGCATTAAGTACCTACCTAAGTTGTTGTGGATTGCTCGTAGTATATTCCAGCCATCCCTACCTGGGGCACGCGGTATTAATATCTGCCCTATGGAGCATTCGAGGTGCCCAGCATAGGTATATACAAATTCGTACCTACGCGTTCTATAGACCTAGCATAGGTGCCTACCTACGTGTGCTGGCTTCCTTGGCACAAGGGGCAGGCTGGTCGACACGCTATACATAGGTAGGTACCTAGGTAGGTACGAGGCGTAAGTACATAGGTACCTATCGCGTGTGGGTCAATGCCTGCCGACTTACGTAGCAGATAAAATATAGAGGATCATGATCTCACACCCCACCACAACTATACACACACCCCCTTAACTCCAAAAACCCAAGGTCCATCCCCCCCCCTTTCTCCCTTCCCTTCCTTTTTTTTTCCTCATCTCAAGGGTTGTAGGTAACTTCGTTCAGCTTAGTGTGCCCGCCCCCTCCGACTACAGAGACCGGATAGATCGATCTCTCGCTTATTATATATTTTTTTATTTTTAAGTCTGTCTTCCTCGGATCACTCCCTCTTCTTGACCACACCCCCCAGATGCTTTCCCACACGCTGGACAAGATCCGAATCCCACCAATTCCCACTCCTTCTACCGCCGCTTTCTCTCTTCAACCACACCCGTGTCCCCTCTTCCCCCCCCCGACCCCCCCGTGAGCCTTATCGGTGTTGTTGATCGCTTCGTGATATTTCCACACCCGCAACCTTTTCCTCCTACATACGTACACGCACACGCACACACTTACACCTTACCTTACTCTCTTGCCAAACGGCCAGGGTGGTTGATTGACATCACATCGTGCCCATCCTAGCCCGCTAGTGCTAGGCTCGCCGTTGCTGTATTCTGGGTCCCCCCTTCGAATCTAAGCTTCTCTCTCGAGTGGTTTTTTTTTTTTGGTCTCCTAGTCTCCGGCGCGCGTCTGTGTTTCTCTTTGTTCCCGCCCTTCCCTTTTCTCCCGCTCGCCATGTCCGCCTTGAGCCAGTCCGGGTCCAGCTCCCACACCCATCCCGGCCTGACCTTTCCTCAGGTCAACGGACTGCGACGCGGATACCCATCTTCGCACTCATCCACGCCGCCCAAGCCGTCGCCGACGCCACAACACCAGTCGCCCTACCAGTCTGCGCAGTACCCTCCTCAGCAGCCTCCCCAGGCTGCCTACTCGCAACATCTCTTCTCGAGCACCACTCCGTCTCCGGTTTCCAACGTCGCCAACGTGCCGAGCCTGGCAAATGGAAGCTCGAGGCATGCCCCGGCCCAAGTCACTCAGCATGCTCAGGCCGCCGTGCAGGCTGCTCGTCAGCACCAACATCAACAACACCAGCGCGGCAATCAGCAACGCCAGATGCAAACCCAACCGCAAGGCCCTTCTCCCTCGGTAGCGTATCTTCAGCAAGCCATGAACCAGCCTGTTCAACCCGTTCAGCAAGTCCCGCAGCCAGTCTCGCAGCCTGTTCAACAGCTATCGCATACTCAATCGATAACTCAGCAAGTTCAGCCTGTCCAGTCGCAACCTGTTCAACAAGTCCAACCTGCCCAGCCAGTCCAGCCAAACGACAGCAATTTGATGACTCCGAACCCTCCTCCTCATCACCAGGCTCACCCGCAAGCCCACCCGCAAGCCCACCCGCAAGCTCATCCGCAAACCCACTCGCAAGCCCACCCGCAGGCCCACCCGCAAGCCCATCCTCAAACCCACCAGCCGCCGCATCAGCAGACGCACTCGCAATCTCTACCTCAGATCCATCAGCAGCAGCCGCCGCCGTCGTTACAGACCCAGCCGACGCCGCAACCGCAGAGCCAGCCGCCGCCGGCTCCTCGGACCGAACCAGCCATCTCGCCGCCGGAAGCCCACCATGACGATATGGATATGGATAGCCAGCCGGAGTCGGGCGAGGGGGAAGGCCCCGTTTCGCCTAAGCTCATCGAGGGCGCACCGTATGTGCCGCGAACTCCGATGGGTCAGATGATGTCACCGCCTCCCGAGGGGGGTAGTTTTCCGAGTCTCGAGGCCGTTCACAAGCACGTACTTGCGTATTGCACGTCGGTGGGCTACGCTGTAGTTATCGGGAGGTCTAAGAAGACGGTGCCGGGTCTGAAGAAAGTCCTCTTCGTCTGCGACCGTGCGGGAAAGCCGCCAAGTCGAGTTAGTCCGGAGCATCGGAAGCGGAAAACGTCGTCCCGTAAGTGCAATTGCCAATTTGGGTTCTTCGCCATCGAGCAGAGAACGCAGTGGACGATTCGCTATCGCCCGGATCAAACCCATCTCCATCACAATCATGGACCTAGCGAGAGCCCGCTATTACATCCGGCGGCGAGAAAGCTGGACAGCGAAATGGTTGCCGCGGTGAAAAATCTGAAGGAGTCGGGTAAGCCTCAAGCGACCACAAATCACGTACGACTGCTGTATTGACTAATCCCAGGCATTGGCGTCACCCAAACTCTAGAGATTTTGCAACAACAGAACCCGCATGTCCCCCTCCTTCCGAGGGACATTTACAACGCGCGTGCTGCGATAAACCGGAATCCGCAGAAGGTCGAGGCGGGAATCGCCGAGCAGCGGCCAGCGATATATAGCAAACCCGCCCCGACCGCCGACGAACGTATCCGGTCCGACTTGAGGAGAGAGCTAGCTAGGACGAAGGAAGAGCTGTCGAAGGTGAAGGAAGATAGCAAAAAGGAGTTGGACGACCTGAGAGAGAAACTACGCGAAAAGGACAAAATCATCGAAAAGTTCGAAATGTTCATCGACATCTGCAACCAGCGCGTCATGGTGCAGAGAGAGAGGCTGAACGACACGGGCGAGAACGGTAGCGGGGCAGGCAGCTCAAACAACTGAAGGGGTCAGGTACGGGATACATACTTGAAAGGGGGCCCTCCAAACGAGGAGTGCCGGGGTCGATCGGGTTTATTGGAGGGAAGTACAGGCAGGCGTCTCGAAGGGTTTACGAATTGGAGCCGACGGCATATAAGCGGGGTCTTGGAGTTTTATAGGCTTGCGAAAGGGTTGCTAGGAAGGGGGGTTAACGGAAAGCCGACTTGACATCAGACTTCACGTTAGGCATGGCAGGGTTCCTCAGCAACGGCTACTACCTGGGGGCAGGGAGGGTGGGAGGGGGGGAGGATAGATTTCGGAGTCCATCATTGTTTTGAACTAGACAGATATTCGGCGACCTGGAGGCTTATGGCTTTACCTTAGTCCTGACCGACATGCGCCCTGGGTCCCTCGTAGTCGACGTGTTTAGTAGCGTGTGCTAGCTGCTACCATATATAAGCGCCCTGCTCCGCGCGTAACGACGGCACAGGCGGAGACGTTCTCTTGGCTAGGTAGGTAGCTTAGGTAGTTGATCTCTCCGAGTTTGCAGGGCTATACTTGTTCAACTTATGATTGTACTAAAAGCTGGATCGATCACCAGGCACCTTGGGCCCCTTGGAATTCCAATGCCCTCCTTATTTAACGGAGTTCGTCGTGTGACATGAACATGTGGTGCGGCATAGCGTTCCATTGGTACCTTGGTCTGCTCGGCGAAATATGCCCTCGGTACACTCACATACATACATACATAGGTATGTATGTATACGTCTCGTAAATACCCTGCTACATGACACGACTCTCTCTTGTAAAGACAAACTATAGTGCATGTCCTCAGGTAGTTTGAGGACGGCTGGGAAACAATACGTTCCCCCTTTTAAACCTTTAGCATGGAGAATAGCAACGTGGGAGGATTCCTCGATTCTACCGTATTTTTTTCAGGGAACAAACGCAAGCACGTTGATCTCTCGTGTGAGTGATATATCGATGATGTACGTTGGCGTATTTAGCTTCGGGCCGTCGTACAGGTAGAGCGCTCATGGGGAACGCCAAGCGAGTGCTGGTATCGACGGCTGCTGCGTTATGTCTCCCACGTAGCGTCATTAAACATGCCATGCAACATGGCAGACATCGTCTATATAGAAGGCGGGATAGCCTGGAGGCACGATGCGATTCGGCGGTGGGATCGAGGGAAATTTGGTATTGATGGGTGCTTAGTAAGAGGTAGGCAGGTACCTAGGTAGCTAACCGGGGTTTCTACCGAAGAAGAGGTACCTATATACCGAGGGTTTAAGACGGTGCCTGAGACAGAAATGGCCGAATTGGGGCAGGTTGTGGCTGATGCTTGTAGCCTGGGCACCGTACATGGTAGGTACCCTAGGTTAGGTACCTGCATGCGCCACGTTGGGCGGTAAACATAGGTACCTCCTACATAGGTTACTTACCTAATATGGATATGTGCAGCACCCCCCGGTAATTCTGCAGCTCGTCGCGACACCCCCCTTGGCGTCGTTCGCGTGAAAACGAGCCATGACTAGTACCGACGTCGACTTGCCAAAATTCCCACCGCAAGTTCCCACCCGATGTTCACCCCTTGTTGTTTTCTCTGTATGTTCAACGACCGCCGATAGATTCAATCGACCGAGATACCCATTCACCGCCTACGCACCGTCAGACAAGTGGTCCTGCTCTCATAACAGTCTTTTCACCCGCCTGCTTTCCCTGAAAACCTACCCAATCCGTCTACTCTCTGCCGGCTCGCTCTATCCTTTCTCTCTCTCCGAGACCAGCGGCCCTTTGGCTGATGCGACAAGATATGCCCTCGACCCCGTGAACGAACCCCGACCCAGCCTTGACCTTGAACCGCCACGATGGAGGCCGTGGCCTCTCCTCGGGGTCTGCAGACCCCAAGCCCGGCTGGCATGTCGCCCTCGTTCGCTACCGTCGATCCAGAGTTGGTGGTAGACTACCTAGCCTCCGTTGTCACCATCGCCCTCGGCGCGACCCGCTACGAGCTTGAGAGTCCCGAGAACCTTCTTTCCAAAGCGACCTACCCCGATACCCTCCATAGGTGTAGTCGCTTCGCCACCGATTCTCAGGTGGCTCTCTACGTCCAGAAGGACATCAGGCCATCCGACGCCGTCCCACAAGAGCCGGTCGGCCATGGTATGGAATCATTCACCTCTGCCCGTCGATGCCGAGAAGCTCCCCTGCTAATGCTCGCCTTCTATACAGCCCCCGCTTCTTATAAGTACACCATCACGTCTGAGATATCGTCTTCGCCGACGACGATAGCATATCTAGCGTTGCTCAAACGTCCGCAAGCCATCGACCCCTCCCTGCCGTTGACCTCCCAGATCCAGATCCAAACGCTTCCCGGCACCGCCTCGCTCACTAGCCTTGTTAGCGAACAAGGCCCTTCCGCATCTCCTTTCGAGATACTACATTCCATTGTTCATAATGCGCTGGCGCCTTACTTCGATGCCAATACCAAGACCTCGCAGGCCGCGAACGGGGCTAGGAACCGAGCAGACGTGGATGCGAAGACAGGTATTCCTGTGACCAAGAAGCGGATGACGGAGCTTGAGCTGAGCTTGCTGCACCTGCAACAAAATGTCGAGATCCCGGAGCTGTCTCTGTCCTTCCACCCCGTTGTCCAAGGAGCGCTAGAGGATGCGGCTGCTCGCGGCATACGGCCCACTACCGACTTGATACCGGCCCACCTTCTCTCCGATAGCACTTTCATGAACAACCTGCAATCTACGGTCAATAGTTGGATTAAATCCATACAGACTATTACGAAGCTCACGCGAGACCCCGTGACGAGGACTGCGACGCAGGAGATCAATTTTTGGTTGTCGATGGAGTCGGCCCTGGAGGGTATTGAAGCCCAATTAAGGAGCGAGGGGGTGACGTTGACCCTGGAGATCCTCAAGCACGCGAAGCGCTTCCAGGCCACCGTTAGCTTCACTGCCGATACCGGCCTGAAAGAGGCCATGGAGATGGTGCAAAAGTACAACCAGCTCATGAGAGATTTCCCTCTCGACGAACTGCTGTCTGCCACATCGCTGCCCAAGATCCAGGACGCCATTGGTCAAATCTTCAGCCATATGAACAAGAAGATGAGATTCAGCAACTATCCGATAGCGCGCACTTTGCACCTCGTGGAGGCCATCTCGGCCGATCTCGAGGAAGTCATGCACCGTCTGCTTCCCGGCTCCGAGCTGGTTGATCTTGATTACAAGGATTTCAAGAATCTCATGGCTACCGCCGACGAAATCTTCAAATCTTGGGACGCTCAAATCAAAGACTTCACGAACATCGCCCGCGAGACCACACGGCGAAGGCAGGAGAGGTTCATTCCCATCAAGGTCAATCCGAAGCACAGCGAGTTGCAAGCCCGGCTAAAATACATCGATACCTTCCGAGACAACCACGAGCAGCTCCAGCGGACCATAGTCAACGTCCTAGGCCCCAGATCGACTGTAAACGGCCTAGGTGAGGACACGTCGGCCAATGGCGTCGCTCTCGTAGAGGAAATGGGCGACGTAGACGCCGTTGAAGAAGTCCAACAGGCTTGGGAGGCCTTGAAGCATGTTGACTTGCTTGATGTCTCCCCCGAGGGCACTCAGAGATGGGTGAAGGCAGAGAACACCTATAATGAACGTACCTCGAGGGTAGAGAACTCGATCATCGCTAGGTTGCGTGATCGCCTCGCAACCGCTAAGAACGCGAACGAGATGTTTCGTGTTTTTTCCCAGTTCAACGCACTCTTCGTGCGGCCCAAGATTCGTGGCGCTATAGCCGAGTATCAAAACCAGCTCATCGACAACGTGAAACAGGCCATCTCGGGGCTACACGAGCGCTTCAAACAGCAGTATGGCCATTCGGAGGCTCATGCGATGGCCCAGCTTCACGATCTGCCGCCAGTATCTGGCGCTATTATCTGGGCGCGTCAGATTGAGCGACAACTTGATGGCTACATGAAGAAAGTTGAAGATATCTTGGGCTCCGACTGGGCCCTCCATGCCGAAGGCCAGAAATTACAGACCGAAAGCGAGCTGTTTAGGAAGAAACTGAATACGCAAGCAATCTACAAGGCTTGGATCGAGGACGTCCAACGAAAGCAAATCTCCATTTCTGGTCGGCTCTTCAATATTAACAGAGTAAGAGCCGCCAACAATGCGCTGGATCTCTCGGTGAACTTCGATGCCCAGATCATCGCGTTATTTAAGGAGACCCGCAACCTCGGCTGGCAGAATTTCAATGTGCCCCACGCCGTCAACAACGTCGCAAAGGAAGCGAAAAGAGTGTACCCGTACGCTGTTAGCCTGATGGAAAGCGTTAGAACGTTTGCGCAGACAACCCGGCAGATTTCGGAACTGCCAGAAGTCTCGATCCTACTAAGCGGCTATCAGAATGACGTTCATGTCCTGGTCGCCAAGGGTATCCCTCTTAAGTGGGAAACATTCGTCAACACTTGGGAGTCCTACCAGAAGCCATCTCTCGCCAACGGCAGCCTGGAGCACTCGATAGGCCGCGGCGCCGAGAGCAAGCACGTTTTATTTGTTCGGGAATTTGCTGCGGCCGCTTCTCTTCTCCAGACGAAAACCAGTACACTCGCAAATATCCACGTGAATGTTCAGAAAGCCCTGGGTGAGTTAGCTACATGCCCGTATGAAGCACTCGAATTTGAGGCACGGCTACGGGCAATTCAAGCGGCTGTGGACCAGCTTAACTTAGAACAGTACGTAAATCTTGGGTTCTGGGTGGAGAGGATGAATGAGCGGATCAAGTTGATTCTACTCGCTCGTCTTCAGCGTGCCGTCTCGGCGTGGATTGAAGCTTTTGAAGACGATACCCCAATCGACCGGATCGAGAGCAATCGGAGGAAGCAACTGGCCGCGTCAGGGGAGTCTGTCAAATCCGACGCGCCGCTCATGAGACACCTGGTCCACGAAATCACGATGAAGAACCAGGTCATCTACCTTGATCCACCCTTGGAATTCGCCAGGGCCAGCTGGTTCTTACACCTGCACAACTGGATCGGCATTGTCTGCAACCTCCCCAAGATCAAGGCCTCCAGATATCAGATGAGTTTAACGCTAAGCACCGTTGTTCTCGAAGAAGCACGCTTCAACGATCTTCCTAGCGATTGCACAGACATTCTCAGCAGAGTATACACCTCGGTCGAGAAGAAATTGGAAGGCATCAGCGAATACGTCGACAAGTGGCTTCAGTTCCAATCTCTCTGGGATCTGCAGTCCGAGCAAGTCTACGAGCTTTTAGGAGACGAACTCCCGAAATGGCTGCAGCTGTTGCAGGAAATCCGAAAGTCGCGTGCGACTTTTGATACTGCCGAAGTCAGCCGTTCATTCGGCCATATTACCATCGATTACGAGCAAGTGCAGATGAAGGTCAACTCCAAGTATGACCAATGGCAACAGGAAATACTGGTGAAATTTGCTGCGCGACTAGGTGGACGTATGCGGGAGGTCAATGCCGAAATCGAGAAGGCTCGGAGAGATTTGGAAGGGCAGAGCCTTGAAGCCACGTCGACTGCACAGGCAGTCCAATTTATTACTATCGTGCAAGCTTGCAAACGCAAGGTGAAGGCTTGGGCGCCCGAGGTTGAGACCTTCCGGCAAGGTCAATCCACTCTCGTCCGGAACCGATACAATTTACCGAACGACTGGGTAGACGTCCAGCAGGTCGACTCAACGTGGGATGCCCTTAATGAGCTCTTGAATAGGAAGGCGAAGATCGTGCAGGATCAGACCGATGCCCTGAAAGCGAAGATAGTGGCGGAGGACCAGGTCGTCATGGACAAGATCGCCGACATTGCTACTCAATGGAACGCGGAGAAGCCAGTTTCGGGGACAATCGCTCCAGATGTTGCGTCCGGAATACTCACCGCTTTCGAGTCTCGCGTCACGAAGCTGCAAGAAGAGTTCGATATGGTATCCAAAGCCAAGGAGGCACTTGACCTTCCCGCAAGCCCCGAATCTTCTCTTTCCATCATCTTGGAGGAAGTCCACGATTTCAAGTCCGTATGGGCTGCCTTGTCGACGATTTGGAAGAGCTTGAACGAACTCCGAGAGACACTCTGGGGAAGCGTTCAACCAAGGAAGGTCCGGAGTAGCATCGATGGGCTTATTAAGATGACCAAGGACATGCCGAGCAGAATGCGACAGTATGCTGCTTTCGAGCATGTTCAAGACATCCTCCGTCAGCTTCTGAAGGTGAATAGTCTTCTTGGGGACTTGAAGTCAGAAGCCATCCGAGATCGACATTGGACAAAAATCTGGAAGGCCATCAAACCTGGTCGACGATACTCGCCGGTCTCTATGACTCTCGGTGATGTCTGGGATCTCAACCTTATTGCCAGCGATGTCATTGTCAGGGATATCATCACACAAGCTCAGGGTGAAATGGCCCTAGAAGAATTTTTGAAACAGGTGAAGGAGACCTGGAATGGTTATCAATTGGATCTCGTGGCCTACCAGACCAAATGCCGTCTCATTCGTGGCTGGGATGACCTCTTCGCCAAGTGCAGCGAGAATCTAAACTCGCTACAGGCAATGAAGCATTCGCCGTACTACAAAGAGTTTGAGGAGGAGGCGTCGTCCTGGGAAGACAAGCTGAATCGCGTTCACGTCCTATTCGATGTCTGGATTGATGTCCAGCGCCAGTGGGTATACTTGGAGGGTGTCTTTACCGGAAATGCCGACATCAAGCATCTTTTGCCCATCGAGTCCTCGAGGTTTCAAAACATCAACAGCGAATTCATGTCCGTCATGAAGAAAGTGTACAAGCAGCCGATGGTGATGGATGTTCTAAGCATCACTGGCGTCCAGAAGTCGCTTGAACGCCTAGCTGAGCTGCTCAACAAGATACAGAAGGCGCTCGGCGAATATCTTGAGAAAGAACGGGTATCGTTCCCGCGTTTCTATTTCGTAGGCGACGAGGATCTTCTCGAGATGATCGGCAACAGTAACGATACCCTGCGTATTGCTAAACACTTCAAAAAGATGTTCGCTGGTCTCACGGGGTTAGTCATGGACGACGAATCGACTATCTCGGGCTTCACATCTAAAGAAGACGAGGTCGTACGTCTCAAGAAGGAGATCTCACTCGCGAAAGTACCCAAGATCAATGACTGGCTAGCTCTGCTAGAAAACGGTATGAAAGCTACCTTGGCCGAGCTTCTCGCCGAAGCGGTCGAAGTGTATACGCCGATATTTGAATCGGGGGAAATCAGCCAAGATGCCTTGAACGATTTCATGACCGCCTTCCCCAGCCAGATCGTGGTGCTTGCTACTCAAGTGACTTGGACCACGGCGGTTGAGCGATCGTTGAGTAACGGAGGTAGTACACTACAGTCTCTCTTTGAACGTGAAGTCCAAGTTCTTAGGATTCTCGCCGAAACCGTGCTTGGCGACTTAGAGGTAATACAGAGGAAGAAATGCGAGGCTCTTATCACGGAATGTGTCCACCAACGGGATGTAATTGAGAAGTTGGTGAAGCTCAATGCCACTTCTCCAACACATTACATGTGGCTGCTCCAGATGCGGTATATCTACGTGCCTGAAGGGGATTTCTTGCAGCGTCTCCACGTCAAGATGGCAAATGCGAAGCTCAACTATGGTTTCGAGTACTTGGGCGTCCCCGATAGGCTTGTCCGAACTCCTCTTACCGATCGCTGCTTCGGAACTCTCACCCAGGCTCTCTGCCAGCGACTTGGCGGCTCGCCATACGGACCTGCCGGCACTGGAAAGACGGAGTCAGTCAAGGCCCTCGGTGTGCAATTGGGTCGCTTTACTCTGGTATTTTGCTGCGACGACACATTTGATTTTCAAGCCATGGGCCGCATTTTCCTCGGCATCTGTCAGGTTGGAGCTTGGGGCTGCTTCGACGAATTCAACCGTCTCGAGGAGAGGATCTTGTCTGCGGTCTCGCAGCAGATTCAAAATATTCAGCTCGGCCTCAAGCAAGGCGCAGAAGATGACAAGGCCCAGATTGAGTTGGTTGGTCGCCAGCTCCGCGTAAACGCCAACACGGGTATCTTCATTACCATGAACCCCGGTTATGCCGGCCGTTCTAACCTGCCGGACAACCTAAAAAAGTTGTTCCGCAGTGTTGCCATGTCGAAACCAGACAAAGAACTCATTGCCGAAGTCATGCTCTACTCTCAGGGGTTTAATCAAGCCAAACAACTTTCGAAACAGACAGTTCCCTTCTTCGACAGGTGCGCTGCAAAGCTGTCGAAACAGGCACACTACGATTTTGGGCTTCGTGCCTTGAAAAGTGTGCTCGTTAGTTCTGGCGGCCTCAAACGTGCCCGACTCACAAGCAGTAGCGGCGAAATTGGTTCCGAGGAGGTTGTAGAGCCCGAAATCATTGTGCAGAGTGTTCGGGAAACCATTGCCCCAAAGCTTATTCGCAGCGATGTCGATATCATGATGAGCATCGAGGGGGAGTGCTTTCCGGGCGTCCAGTATGTTCCTGCTAACCTCAACAAGCTTGAGGACGCCATCCGTAATCTGGCGGCCGAGAGGCACCTGGTGGTCAATGATACTTGGATGACCAAAGTTCTCCAGCTCTACCAGATTCAGAAGATACACCACGGTGTGATGATGGTAGGCAACTCGGGATCTGGAAAATCTGCAGCTTGGCGGCTGCTCCTCGATGCGCTTCAGCAAGTTGAAGGTGTCGAGGGCGTTTCTCACGTTATCGACTCGAAAGTCATGTCAAAGGAAGCACTATACGGGAACCTAGACTCAACCACGAGAGAGTGGACAGACGGCTTATTCACGAGCATCCTCCGGAAGATCGTGGATAACCTCCGTGGAGAAGACTCGAAGCGCCACTGGATTGTTTTCGACGGAGATGTCGACCCCGAATGGGTCGAGAATCTGAACAGTGTTCTGGATGATAACAAATTGCTGACTCTCCCCAACGGCGAGCGTCTTAATCTGCCACCCAACGTTAGGATAATGTTCGAGGTTGAAACTCTCAAATATGCCACCCTAGCAACTGTTAGTCGATGTGGCATGGTTTGGTTTAGCGAAGACACCGTCACCTCAAGCATGATGGTCACCAATTATCTCCAGAAGCTGAGGGCGGTGGCCTTCGAAGATTTGGACGAGGATGCTGCCGCTGCTGGTCAGAGCCCTGCGAAGGCGCTACAAATCCAGAGCCAAGTTGCCGACCTCCTGCAAGCCCACCTGACTACGGAGGATTTCATCCTCGCAGCTCTTAAAAAAGCCGAGTCCTATAATCACATCATGGAATACACTGTTGCTCGTGTCCTCACGACATTGTTTTCTTTGCTCAACAAGGCCGTCCGGGATGTAATTGAATATAATGCAGCCCACGTCGATTTCCCTCTGGACTCGGAGCAGATCGAAGCATACGTCTCAAAGAAGTTGCTACTTGCTCTGGTCTGGGCATTGACGGGCGATTGTCCGCTTACTGACCGAAAAGCGTTTGGAGACAGCGTCGGGGCCCTCGCGAGCTTCGGGTCGCCGCCACTCGATGGTAGCAGCTCTCTCATCGATTTTGATGTCACTCTTCCTAGAGCGGAATGGACCCCGTGGCAGAACGAGGTCCCTACGATCGAGGTCAACACGCATTCTATTACGCAGACAGACGTTGTCATCCCCACCCTGGATACCGTTCGCCATGAGGACGTGCTCTATTCCTGGCTCGCGGAGCATAAACCGCTTCTACTTTGCGGCCCGCCCGGGTCTGGTAAGACGATGACTCTGTTTAGCGCACTTCGCAAACTACCGAACATGGAAGTCGTCGGCCTCAACTTCTCTAGTGCGACGACACCCGACCTTCTCATAAAGACCTTTGAACAGTATTGCGAGTACAAGAAGACTCTGAATGGTGTGATGCTATCACCAACCCAGATAGGGCGATGGCTTGTAATCTTCTGCGACGAGATAAATCTACCTGCCCCAGACAGATACGGTACTCAGCGAGCGATCTCATTCCTTCGTCAGTTGGTAGAGCACAACGGGTTCTGGCGAACGTCAGACAAATCATGGGTAACACTCGACCGAATCCAATTTGTTGGCGCCTGTAACCCCCCAACCGACGCTGGCCGTACCCCCATGGGGGCCAGGTTCCTCAGGCACGCTCCGCTTATCATGGTTGACTACCCAGGCGAGCTGTCTCTACTTCAGATTTACGGAACTTTCAACTCGGCTATTCTCAAGATCATACCAGCACTACGCGGATACTCCGAACCACTTACCCAGGCCATGGTTCGATTCTATTTGGAATCCCAACAGCGATTTACGCCCAAGATACAACCTCATTATGTGTACAGTCCTCGTGAGTTGACGAGGTGGGTGCGCGGCGTATACGAGGCCATTCGCCCGTTGGAGACGCTATCTATCGAGGGGTTAGTCCGCATCTGGGCCCACGAGGCGCTACGGCTTTTCCAAGACCGTCTGGTTGCCGAAGATGAGCGGAAATGGACGGACGATGCCGTGCGAAGAATTGCCTTGGAGCTTTTCCCAACAGTCGACGAGCAGAAGGCGCTCGGCGGCCCAATCCTATTCTCCAACTGGCTATCGAAGAACTATGTCCCAGTTGATCGGGAGCAATTACGAGACTTTGTCAAGGCTCGCCTCAAGACATTCTGCGAAGAGGAGGTTGATGTCCCCCTCATCCTCTTTAACGATGTGCTTGAGCATGTCCTGCGCATCGATCGTGTCTTCAGACAACCGCAAGGACACTTGATCTTGATTGGTGTGAGTGGAAGTGGAAAGACAACCCTCTCGAGATTTGTTGCCTGGATGAATGGCCTCAAGGTCTTCCAGATCAAGGTTCACGGAAAATACTCAGCTGAAGACTTTGACGAAGACCTTCGGGAGGTCTTGCGCCGATGTGGCTGCAAGGGCGAGAAGATGTGTTTTATTATGGATGAATCCAACGTCCTAGACTCGGGCTTCTTGGAGAGGATGAACACATTGCTTGCCAACGCCGAAGTTCCCGGTCTTTTCGAGGGAGACGATTTTGCCTCCCTAATGACGGCCTGCAAAGAAGGCGCCCAGCGACAAGGTCTGTTGCTGGATTCCCAAGAGGAGCTTTATAAATGGTTCACGCAGCAGATAGTCAAGAACCTGCATGTCGTCTTCACTATGAACCCGCCCGAGGACGGATTATCCTCCAAGGCAGCCACCAGCCCGGCCTTGTTCAACCGTTGCGTCTTGAACTGGTTCGGCGATTGGTCCGACCAGGCGCTCTTCCAGGTAGCCAACGAGCTGACACATTCTATCGATCTCGATAAACCCAACTTCGCTGCCCCCGACACCATCCCCGTCGCATATCGTGGCCTTAACTTACCTCCCTCGCACCGAGAAACAATCGTCAACTCGATGGTCTACATCCACTACTCGCTGCGGCACTTTAATAGCAAGCTTCAAAAACAACAAGGAAAGATTACATTCCTCACTCCACGCCACTTCCTCGACTTCGTCGCCCAATATGTCAAGTTGTACAACGAGAAGCGAGAAGACCTGGAGGAACAGCAGCGTCACTTGAATGTCGGTCTTGACAAATTGAGAGACACAGTCGAGAAAGTTCGCGATCTTAGGGCCAGTCTAGCGGAGAAGAAGACCCAGCTTGAAGCCAAAGATGCCGAGGCTAACGAGAAGCTACAACGTATGATTGCCGACCAAAGGGAAGCCGAACAGCGCAAGAGCACCTCCCTAGAGATCCAAGCCGCCCTAGAAAAGCAAGAGGCTGAAGTCGCAAAACGCAAAGAGGTTGTGTTAAACGACTTGGCAAGAGCCGAGCCCGCGGTTGAAGAAGCGAAGGCAAGTGTCAGTAACATTAAACGACAACACCTAACTGAAGTTCGTTCCATGGGTTCCCCCCCGCAGGGCGTCCGGCTGGCGATGGAGTCCGTTTGCGCTTTGCTGGGCCATAAGATTCAGGATTGGAAGGCTGTCCAAGCCGTGGTGCGTCGCGATGACTTCATCGCAAGCATTGTCAATTTCGACAACGAGAAACAAATGACCAAGGCCTTGCGAACGTTGATGCGCACAAAGTTTCTGAACGTTAAGGACTTCACATACGAAAAGGTCAATCACGCTAGTAAGGCCTGTGGTCCGCTGGTCCAGTGGGTCGAGGCACAGGTCAATTACTCGGAAATCCTCGACCGTGTTGGACCTCTGCGTGAGGAAGTAACCCAGCTAGAGGAGCAGGCCTTGCAGACGAAGGCCGAGGCCAAGGCCGTTGAAAACACTATCTCCAGCCTAGAGCAGAGCATCGCAACGTACAAGACAGAGTACGCAGCCCTCATCAGCGAGACTCAGTCTATCAAGAGCGAGATGTCTCGTGTCCAGTTCAAGGTGGACCGAAGCGTTAGGCTTCTTGATAGTCTTTCTTCGGAGCGAACCCGATGGGAAGACGGCAGCAAGTCGTTCGAAACCCAGATCAGCACGTTGGTCGGAGACGTCCTAGTTGCGGCGGCCTTCCTGGCTTATAGCGGTCTCTACGACCAGACTTTCCGCAAATCAATGATGGAAGATTGGCTGCATCAGCTACATCTTTCCGGAATCCACTTCAAGCCCCATAATCCTGTTACCGAGTACCTGTCCACCGCGGACGCGAGACTCGGTTGGCAAGAGAACACTCTGCCAGTCGACGATCTCTGCACTGAGAACGCCATTATCCTCGAGCGTTTCAACCGCTACCCCCTCATCATCGATCCGTCTGGCAGAGTCACTGAGTTCCTTCAACGCGAATGCAAAGATCGTCGTCTGACGGTAACTAGTTTCTTGGACGATTCCTTTACCAAACAGCTGGAGAGTTCTCTCCGGTTCGGCAATCCCATTCTCATACAGGATGCTGAGCATCTAGACCCCATTCTGAATCATGTTCTCAACAAGGAATATCAGAAAACGGGTGGTCGAGTGCTCATCCAGCTGGGGAAACAACAAATTGATTTCTCGCCCGCATTTAAGATTTACTTATCCACGCGAGATCCTTCGGCCACATTCCCCCCGGACATCTGTAGCCGAACCACCTTTGTTAACTTTACGGTGACGCAAAGTAGTCTCCAGACCCAGTCCCTCAACGAGGTCCTAAAATCGGAGAGGCCAGATGTGGACGAGAGGAGGTCAAATCTCATCAAACTGCAGGGTGAATTCAAGGTTCATCTTCGACAACTTGAGAAGCGTCTACTCCAAGCACTCAATGAATCCCGTGGTAATATTCTTGACGATGACCACGTCATCGAAACCCTCGAGACCCTCAAGACCGAGGCCGGAGAAATCACTATTAAGATGAGCAATACGGAAGGCGTCATGGCTGAAGTCGAAGAAATCACACTTCAGTACGGCATCATCGCGCGATCTTGCAGTGCAGTTTTTGCTGTTCTCGAGCAACTGCACTACCTCAACCACTTCTACCAGTTCTCCCTCCAGTACTTCCTAGACATCTTCCATTCTGTCCTCCACGGGAACGGGAACCTGGCAAATGAGAAGGACTTCAATAGACGCCGAGATATCATCATCAAGGACCTATTCGTGACCGCATTTAAGAGGACGGCACTGGGCCTGCTGCAGAAGGATCGGATTACACTGGCTTTGCTTCTCGCCCAAGCCTCCCCTTATAAGATGGACAAGAGCCTTATCGATGTTGTCCTCGACGATCGTGTTGAGGGCAATGACCTTTCCACCGAAAGTGATGCTAGGGACGAAACCTTTGCCAGAGCCAAGAAGCTCAGCGCACTGAAGGACAAGCTCGATCAGGTCCCTGCCTCTGCCTGGGACACATTCCTGACAGAGGAATTCGCAGAGAACTTCGTGCCGCAAATATGGGATTCGGGAAGTGACCCATTTGACCAAGGCCTGTTCGCGTTGCTTCTCGTTAAACTATTCCGGCTCGACCGTTTTGTGCCGGCTGCGGAACGATTTGTTACTTCCGTGTTCGGAGACGGGCTATTCGACATCGTGGATGATCTCAAGGAGACGGTCGACCAAGTTGCTCCAACCCACCCTATCTCGCTTGTTTCGAGCCCCGGTTTCGATGCCAGCTACAAAGTCGACAGCCTGGTTGAGAGGATGCGGGTCAGGTGCACCAATATCGCGATGGGATCTAACGAAGGTCTTGCCAGCGCCGACAAGGCGATCAGCAACGCAGCGCAAGTCGGATCCTGGGTTCTCATCAAGAACGTCCATCTTGCGCCAACCTGGCTACAGTCTCTGGAGAAGCGCATGGAATCTCTCAATCCGCACTCGGACTTCCGATTGTTCCTATCGATGGAGTCGAGCCCCAAGATACCGGTGAACTTCCTTCGCGCATCTCGCGTGCTTATGTACGAGCAGCCAGCCGGCGTGAGGGCCAACATGCGGGACTCGATGTCTTCTCTCTCGACACGGTCTACGAAGAGCCCGGTGGAACGTACTAGATTGTACCTCCTCCTTTCCTTCCTACATGCCGTCGTACAGGAACGCCTACGATATGCCCCCAATCTAGGATGGAAAGGCTTTTGGGAGTTTAACGACAGCGACGTAAGTTGTATCCACAACTCCCCCCTTGTTTCTATGGCAGCTAACGTAATTTTCTTTTTTCTTTTTGCAGTACGAATGCTCGGCTTTCATCATCGACACGTGGATCGAGTCTGTGGCGCAGAGCCGTACGAATATCAACCCGCAGAATATCCCGTGGGATATGATCCGCTACCTGGTCCGTGAGACGTACGGCGGTAAGATCGACGACGAGGGCGATTACAACCGCTTGACGGAGTTGGTGGGCCAATTCCTAACGCCATCCGCGTTCGACATCGGACACAAACTGGTCGAGGGATCCGAGAAAGACGGGCAGGATGCGAGTCTGGTGGTGCCATCGGGCACTTCGCTGCAAGAGTTTATGGGGTGGATTCACAAATTGCCGGAACGAGAGCCGCCGGTTTATCTGGGTCTTCCCGCTAACGCAGAAAAACTCCTTCTAGTTGGCCTGGGCAAGAGCCTGATCCAGAATGTGAAGAAGGTGGCTGAATTGCTGGACGAGGGGGAGCAGCTTATGGCAGAGGGTTGAGGAGGCGTCATCCTACGCAAAATTGTAAACGTGGTGTTGTGGCTCTTCTCTTCGACGGCTTTTTTTCTCTCTTTTTTTTTCTAGCGGCTTCTTTAGGACTATAGGCCCCTTCATACCCTGATACCCAATCTCCGATGTTAGATCGCAGTTAGCTTCACCTTGCGGCTTGCTGGTCTAGATTCAGCTGCATCTCACACAAGAGATAGATAGACAGCACCGCCAATTAAAACCATCGTATTCGATTGCACATGTCGGCAGCCACTTGTAGTGATAAGCCAGACGTCTGCACGGGCCCGTAACCCGGCGAGGCAGTACCGAGATGGCGGGTAAAGTCTTGCTACGTAGAGAAAAACAAACGGCTTACCGCTGTCGAGTTTTGGCATCTTCTGTCTTTCCCTTCTTCGAACCGAACACGTAAGGCTAGGCGGACACGCAGAGTTCCAGGAAAACTCTTACTACATGATGCGGGCCATTCGCGATCGGCAAGTAGTGTGTATATATAGTATATATATATACACGTACAACTATATATAGGTATACCATATCCAATGCACCAAGTCAGCATTAGTGTATATAAAACCCCATCCGTCCCCACCTTACAGGGACACACGTCTACGCAGGGTTCGATGGAGGCGTCATTCAATATATATCGGCACTATGCAATCAATACTAGGACGTCAGGTTAGCTCGACTAAGAGGAAGAGTTACATTGAGCCGCATCTCGCTGCCTACCTCTCTAGGTCTTCACCCCCTCCCCCCCTCGTTGCCGTTTTTGGATGGGTAGCAGCGGCTAGCCAGTCGTCGCACCCACCCACTCAAATATGTCCGGTACTTTGCACGCCTCCATACGTTCCATCTCGGGTATTGTAAGACGTTGGGCACCCCTCACGGTATTCCCGATAGCAGACCGGGAGTCTGGTAAGATACATACATGGTGGCACTCATTCCGCGACCTACGTCGACGCTGTGACCGAAGGGGGGGGGGGGGTGCGTAGGCTAGGAGGTTAGGTACCTAAGTGCCCGTGTAGCAGAGGGAGGAGTTAGGAGGTACATAGGGTATGTCGGAGGGCCCGATCGCCGCCCAATCAGGACAGGGGCATTTGTAACCGCGTCGATGTGCGTCGGTCCACATGGTCCGGAAGAGATTTCCAGAATGCGGTGTAGGTATAACATAGCATCATCACCACCCGAGGCATCGTCATCACGTCGACCCGTGGAGGAGGGGATCCCGCGTCTGAGCCTCTCCCGCGGGAACCCAGAGGAGGAGAGGAGAGAAAAAGACAAAGCAAGGAAGACCCACATCATCGTCCATCCCGCTGCGCATCGATATACGGACGTAGGTACAGAGGGCCAGGCCTCGTCTGTGGTTATGTACATGAGGGACTTATGCAATCCGGGTTCCTCGTGTTATTTGGAAGGGTAGGTATTTTGTTTCGGGGTCCTACGCCAGGTACTTCTTTTTTTTCTTGTTTCCCTCGCAAATCCGACGCAGCCAGGCCAAGTCGACGGAGCCTAGAGCGGCAATCGTCGTACATACACGCGAGAAATTTGAGGCGCGCCAGGCACATAACATGCACGCACGGCCTGAGAGGTGAGCTGCCTGGGGTGGTCAATATTTATGTGGACGATCAATTTCTGACGAGATAAACCATCCCGCTAGCCCATGGGCATCTTATCTCCGTAGCAGTGGCGCATTTGCCGAGTTTCTCGTCAGCCCTTGTTCCCTTGCGTCACTTACCTCCTCCCCCCCCCTTCGGGTCCGGTCTTTGCTTATCGAGCCTCGTCCGCTGCCTGTTGTACGTGCTTCTGGCGCTGCGCAGATTCGAGGTTGCAGTGGGCTCAGATGTAAGTCGGTGGGAAGTTGTCATGCGTGTGTGTATGTAGGCAGGTTGCAGCGCCTGCAGACTGCAAGGACGTATACGCGCATACACATGGAGATGGAGCCTTGATAAAAAAGCTTGGCATGGAGGGAGGACACCCGGATCGTGGCCGGACCCTATACATGACCCAGACAGGCACGCACCCAGACCGCCACATCACGACACAGCGACAAGAGCTTACCACCTTGGGAGAGGTAACCTTCTTCCCCTCCTCCCCCCCTGGAGCGTTCATGAGTAGTAAAATCTCTGGGCCATCCGTACCTTACCAGTTCCGTCGCATTGTATTACGCGACTCGACAGCACCGGTTCCGCTCCGGGGCTGGTAGCAGAGCGACTACTACTATCGCCTAGTCAGATGACCGCGACCAGCGCGCCAGCCAGACCGCCTTCCGAAGCGCAGCTGCGGCTGCCTGGGTACGGTACCTAAGGGATCTGCGCACGCAGAATTGCATTATTATTGAGTAGACACCTCACGCCGTGCCCGTCTACACCTGGACGTCTGCACCTGGACGCCAGCACGCCCATTCGTATTCTGTGTATTGCCGAGCGGTTCAGGGAAGAGAAGAGAAGATTAGGAGCTGGGTCGGGTAGGAAAGGTACCTAGGTACCTAGCTTTTATGCGGACACTTATGAGTACTATAGGTGCGCGATACAGTTATGTACAGGGAGTAAGCAGAATAGGTGTGCGCATAGGTGGTGTGTGCATAGGTCTAGGTAGGTGTACCATCTTCAAAGATGGATGGAAGGTGTGGATGCAATAGCTAGGTACCAAGGTACGCCAGGCTAGTCATCCAGCCCCCGGCCGTCGCGGCGCGCACCCCTGTCCGCATTACCAAATGCAATCTGACTCGGAGCCAATAGAAGCCGGGTCAATGATAATCTAGCGGGCTCTGATTCAACCGGCTGGCCGACGCTCGGGATGGTGCCCTTTATCTCTCCTCGCGATGGGGACTTGGGAGGCAGATCCACGCTAGCCCTTTCCAACCCGACAGCTCTCTTTGTTTCTTTCACCGACGTTACTTGTGTACGCACATACAGGGTACCTACCTTACCTACCTACTTATGAGTATACCTTCGGTGGAGGTAAGTGTGGAAACCAGCCCGGCTTACCTCCAGGTCTCGGGCGTCCCAGGGGGCGATGCGTGTTGCCCCTGTATGTAGAGAGCTGACTGTGTGCGTGCGTTGCTACTATGGACCTTAGGTACCTAACTATCTAACCCTTGGGCCACCCAGGGAATCAGGCCAGGCTAGGTACTCCCAGACAGGGACATAGGTATACTGCATGTACCTGCCCCACGCTGCTACCGCCTCCCAAGCCGCGCCTCGATACCTGCCCTCTACCTGCCACGCAGTACACGCGTACATCCGCCAATCCCTCTGTCGCTGACCACGGCCAGCCAGCCGGGGACCCGCCATCCGCTTCCCATGTGGCATCTTCACGGTCCCGTATCTATCCCCATTGCCATTTATTTCCCTTTCCATCAGCCCCCGAGGGATCTGATTACCTCCCCTACCCAGCACTGGCAGCCCACACACCCCGTCGTTCTCCCTCGTCTACCCATCCCCCCTCCAGCCCATCCGTCCACTCGCTCGCCTACCCGCTACCAGCCCGCCGAGACTAGACCAACAGCTGGTTGATCTGTCCCTTCAACGAGGTGCCGTGCTGCATCCCCTCCACCCACCCACCCACACCCACCCATCCCATCTACTCCTGGCCCTGTCCTCGAATCTCCGAGATTCACCTCGCCTCGGCCTTGACAGCTTGTCCCGTCTCTCCTGGCTGACTGCACCCTCGCCCTTCCTCCCTGTCCTGGCTTCTCCGATCTTATCTCCATATCGTACCACCCCTCTCCTCCGACGGTGACGGAGTTGTCCTCTGTCCCATCCCGAGTTCTGGCCCGCGAGGTGACGCTTGCGGTGCAGATCCAGCAGCAGGACGGCTGCTAGATTCCCTGCCCGTCACCACGTACTCGCCTCCTGTAGCTGGCTCGACGTGCTCGGTTCTCTCCGTGTCCTGCCCATATGCAATTCTGGGCCCTCTGCGCATGTAGCTGGCTACCTACCTACCTACGTCCGTCCGTCTATCCCGTCTATCCATATATGAGCCTGTCCATATATGCATACGCGCTCGTATTATACACACCCGCGCGCGCTCGTACCAGGCCCGCCCTGCCCTGCCCTGTCCCCGTGATCGATCCGGACATATTATACCATAAGCAGCAGGGCCCCATTTGCCCTCACGTTCTCGACGCTCCTCCGCCCTCTCTCCCTCCCCTCCCGGTGCACTAACGTTTTCCTACCTGCGCGGACCCAAGAGGGAATCCACCCGAGCCTCTTGGAATATCGCCCCTTGCGTCCGAGGGGATCCATAGGCCGTCTCTAAACCACCTGACCATCACACACCACCCCAAATAAGTCCATTGCTGTTCACTCGGTTTCGATATCCGTCCCGTTGCCCACTACCCGCTGCATCGAGGCCAAGCCGACATAGACCCCTTATGGAGACAGGTGCCTGCCCATCATCGCACTGATACAACCATATCATCAGTTGTCACGACATATCATAGCATCCCCGGACGACCTCCCAGCCGGGCACTAGTCGGCTAGCCCGCATCCCGTCCAACCAGATTGTTGGGTCCCCAAAGGCTCAAAGTCGACACTGACGTCGAGCGCCGATGTCCTATCTCGACCGTCCCTCTGTCTCTCCTCGGTACCCTCGCCTCGAGATCCTGACATAGGCTCCCATGTCGTCGGAGAACTAGACGACAGTCCACGTGCGACAACCACTGTAGCTGACCATCGCGATCAGGTTGATTTCTCCCCCTGAGGGCTTGATGGAGGCGATGATGGAAGCGAGACCATATTCTCACACGAAACCCACCAAGGCAGATCTGAACTCCGCGAGAACCGCACTCCCTACCCGACCGGTCATCTCCAGAGAAGGCACACAGCCGTCCGACACCATGTCCGTCCGGATCGCCTCCTCCGTCGGTTCGAGAAGTCCCGCGGCCCAAAGCCAGAGCGATTTCTCAGACGCCCCGAGCCCGTCGATCCACGGATCGGAGCGCCTGCATTCTAAGAGCCCCTCCCCCTTCGACCCAGTACATCAAGAGACTTGGGCAGCGACGAAGCCGAGCATGTCGACAAGCCATGGCGGCCAGGTGTGCAGGTAAGTGCGTTACACCCCAAATATACGACATCGCCTAACCCCGTGCTAGCAATTGCGGCACCACGAGAACGCCGCTGTGGAGGCGCTCACCTCAAGGGGCCACTATCTGCAACGCTTGTGGCCTGTATCTCAAGGCGCGAAACTCGTCTCGCCCGACGAATCTCAAGCGACCGCCGTCGACAATCTCTGCCACCCAAAAGAGAGCGCCCGAGAAGGTATCCTCCAGTTCCTGCTCTCAGATCCCCTCGCCGGGGATACCAGGTGCCACCTATGTCTCCGCAGACCAAATGCCCAGCGGGTCGTGCCCTGGCGGGGGCCGGTGCAACGGGACCGGAGGCGCGGAGGGCTGTAGCGGTTGCCCGGCGTACAACAACCGGGTAGCTAAGAGTGCGCAGCTCCACGGTCAGAATCGAGCGTCTAGCACCGGGAACGGAAGCCCTATAGACGAGGCACCGACTCCCATCGACATCAACGCTCAGCAGGCCTCGGCTCAGAACACCACCGTGGTTATAGCCTGTCAGAATTGTGGCACTACGATAACTCCGCTATGGCGCCGGGACGAATCCGGCCATACCATATGCAATGCTTGCGGTGTGTATATGCGCAACGCTGCTAACCCTGGAGATCTCTGCTAAACATTGTAGGGCTGTATTACAAACTCCACGGGGTCCACCGACCAGTGACCATGAAGAAATCCGTCATAAAGAGGAGAAAACGCGTGATACCGGCAAATCAAGGCGACAGCGGAGCAGAAGATGCGATGACGGTTGACTCGATCGACCAGCAGAGCCAATACCCAGAATCCGAGACGGAGCGCGGCACCGTCAACGACGACGGCTCCGTTAATCTCGGGCTAAGACGAAAAGCCGAGCACCCCCTCACGCTGCTCCCCGACCCGATCCGATCCGGAATCGGGCCGTCTCCGATCTCGTCCACCGATCTCATGGCGTACCATAACACCAATGCGTCGCAACCTGTCGATATCCGGGACTCCCTTACCGACGACAACCGCTTAGCGCCGCTTACGTCTATCCCGACATCAAGCGAGCGCCAGTCTTCCTTATCTCCCGCATCCTTCCTCTCTCCTTCGAGGAGGAAACGTTCCTTTTCGGGAACCGAGTCAGAATACGCGCCGAGCGAGCCGAGCTACGATAACCCGAAGCGACTCTCATCAATCCAATCCCTTCTCAACCCAGCATCCGAGTCGAGCCTGAACTTTCGTGCGACCGAAAACGCGACCGAGTCGCTACGCCTCCGACTACCGGCGACGAGACCCGGGCCAGGTCCCAATCCCGGAGCTCACCCTACTCCGGTTCTAGAAATGCACCCGAGAGAGGGTGTGGTGGAAGACGAAAGGACGAAGGCCGATCGACTGGCAGCTCTCCAACAGGAAACCGAACGCATGCGCGAAATGCTCGCCGCCAAAGAGCGCGAGATGGCCGCGCTACAACGATAGACCGAGCTGGGTGCACGCGCACAGATCCTTTTTACGCAGTTTTATTCCAGTAATGACCCCTTCTCACGACCAAAGAGTTTTTTATGACCGGGACGAGTGGAGTTATCGAACGGGAAAAAAAAAAACACGGCGAACAAAAAACATGACCAGAAGTCAAGGTTTCCGGACTATTATTATTATTGGGGTACAGGATTACCCGCTAGCCTCGCTTTTCAGCAGCAATGCGTATAGGCTAGCATACGTGCTAGGGTCGGGGGGGGGGAGGAAGGGAGATGGTGTTGGTGAAATTTTGATATCGTCGGGAAATCTAGGCGGAGCATCAAAGCAGGAAGAAGGTTCCCCAAGACCAGACACCAACAAGTCCTAAATCAACCGAGAGGGAGGGAGGGGTGGCTTCATTTTTCTCTTCACGGACGGCGCGGGGAAAGCATTCACGGGGAAAGGGGGGGGGCGGCGGCTTTTTAGAGAGAGATAGGCGCTACGTATGTCCAATGTTAAAGGTCGGCGACGGCTTCGATTCCCGCCCTCCCATCACCTACATATATATATATATATATACGTATATGCAGCCCGGAAGCTCGCAGCGGAGTTGAGAGACAGAGAGACATGGAGCGTCAGTGCCGCCTTCGAAACTTGGGAGCCTGCCCAGCAGAACCTGGGGGGGCGGTCAGCTCGTCGGCCCCAGCGGAAAGGGGCGGTGCAAACTACGGACTGGGTGCGCCCGGATCCCGGTCTACGTCGACCCCCCGGACCGGTACCGGCGAGCTGCTGGGTAGGTGGCTGTGCTGGCCGCGCGATAAGAGGCCGTGAGCGCCGGGCATCGCCAACCGGACGACTGATCATCCCCCCCGGAACAATAAGGCGATTTTAATCTTCTAGCAGCCTAACAGCTCGAGTGTGTATGCTTTCTTTTCTGTTATTTTTTTTTTTTTTGCGACTCGGGCGCGCGATCCGGCCCTTCTCCTCTCTGTCTCTCTCTTCCTGCCTCCCTCTCTCTCCCCTCCCCCCTTCTCGCTCTAACCTCGTCGAGGCAAGTCTCACGTTCTCAGGAGGACTAGCTTCCTCCATTCACACGCATACGGACGTAACCCAGAGTCCCCTCCTTACTCCTTTCCACCTCCTTTGATCCCCCCCCTCCCCTCCTAATAATCACCCCCTTATCCGACTAAACCAACCGGCCACGCCCGACGACAAGACCGAACCAATCAACCGACGTGCGATACAGTAGCGACGCGACAGAACCAAAACATCGAGCGGCGGTAATGTCCCGAAGAGTGCGCGTGTGACGGCGAGAGGTAAGGTTTACCCGCACCTCCCCCCCTGGCCCTCACGCGAAAAGGGGGATGAGTGAGGGTTGGAGAGAGCCTCTATAGGTCGTCCCCACAAAGGAGGGTGTGCCGGCTTTAGACCTGCTCAGCGCCCCAGCCGGCGTCGGCCTCCCGCATATTCGAAGGAGGCTCGATGGAGGGGATAAATTCGAGGACGACGTAGCCGATGCCGGTGATGCCGATGGTGCTGCCGGCGATGATACGCAAGACGTGGTTATTGATCAGGATAGAGCCGACGAATATGTAGACTATTTTCGGGGGAGCTGCTGTTAGCCAAATTCCTTTTGAGGCTCCGCCTCTTTACTCTCTCTCTCTCTCTCTCTTTTACAGGGGGAGGGAGCACGTACAGATACCGCGGCCGATGAAGGAGAACATGAAAGAGGCATAGCGCGCGACCTGGGGCGGGATCTGAAACTCGAGCAGGGCGACGGCAGCGCCGAAGATGATGACGTAGGTGCCGATGATGACGGATTGTCTATTATTTTGACGTAGAGTTTGTCAGCGGACATGGCTTCACCACTCGCGCGCGACCCTCGGGTGGGCTCTCCTAGCGCATCGCGCAGGGACGCCCCGTATCCAACTTGTGCCGTCGCGAGCCCAGCGCCGGGCGTGAGGCTTGGCGGCCGCACACGGAGTAGGGCACGGATGCGGCGGTTCACACGTACAGGCTTAGGTTGAAGAACTGCGAGATGCCGCCCAGCACCATCATAACGCCTACGGCGAGGTTGACGATCCGGCTAGAGAGAAGGGGGGAGCATATCAGCATTTGGTCTTCTGTTTCCATCGTTTCCCCTCTTCGACCCCACGACGCCGATCGCGGGCAGGACGGGAGGGGGGACGATACTAGAAGACGAGAAGATATGTGGTTGCGTACAATGAGTCGGAGAAGTCCATCTTGGATGGTTGGTTCTCGAGGGGCTTCGTAGAGGAGGTAGAGAGATATAGCTGCTGGCAATGGCGGGAAAGACGGATTAGTTGCGATTTATTCGATGGCGGGCGCGGCACCTAGAAGATGACGGGGTCGGCCCTAATAGAATAGTAGCTTCGGGGCGGGTGACTTGGAGCGAGGTTCGCGATGCGCTGGTGCAGAAGCTTCTTCGCTTGGCCGCGCTGTTCTAGCCGAAAGAGGAGTTTTTTCTCTCGCTCTCTCCCTCTCCAATGCTTACTTGGCGTCGTCGCGGTGTGGTAGTATGGACCTGGATGCGGACGGCGGCGACACGGATAGATGCTGGTGTAGATATAAGTTTATAAGGGACAGACAGACAGACAGACGGGCGAGGTGGAAGGATAAGTGGCGATGGTTGAGGGATGGGTACCAGCGTGCCCTTGGGTGGATGTATGAGTATTATACGTGTAGACCTGGATACACGTACTAGTAGGTACCCAAGACAGCAGTACTACGTATGTATGTGTAGTGGGCAGGTCCGCGTCAGGAGGCTGGAGCTCAGGACAGGGGGGGGGGGAAGCTGGCAACCCCGGAGTGGGGAGTGCATGAAAGTGGTATTAGGTGCCGAGATACATTAGGTATCTACCATACAGGGAGGGGGGGGGGTCTATTAACACTATGTCAGTAACCCTTTCTATGACTGGACATAGTATCTACCTCGTAATAAGAGTAAGTTAAACTCTAGGCTGACATTATTACCATTTCTCGACATAGTTACCATCCGGATATAATGTCTTTATTTTTTTTTAAAAAAAGGTACATTTTATAGGGTTACCCGGTTACGTCTAGGTTACTAAGTACGTACCTTTGTACCTTTGTATCTTTTACGTCTGTTACCTACCTCTTCCATAGGTTCGAAGATAGGTGGTAGATAGATTCCACGCCCGCGAACTGGCTTCCATAGATTCCACGTGCGCGAACTGGTTCCCATAGATTCCACGTGCGCGAACTAGCTCTCACAGGTTCGAAGATAGGTTCGAAGATAGATAGATTCTATACGCTTAAACTAGCTCCCACAGGTTCGTAGATAGGTTTGAAGATAGGTTCGCAGATAGGTTCGCAGATAGGTTCGAAGATAGATAGATTCCACGCGCCCGAACGAGCTAGGGAGGAGCTAAGGAGTTGTCGTCATCCATCTTGCTGCAGCTGATGCAGCCTGTCGATGTGGTGCAGCATACGAACGTAACTACCTATGCCCAGGGTTGTAAAAAAGAAGTTTAAGTTTTTAAGTTAAGTTTAAGTTTTTTAAGTTAAGTTTTTTTAGCTTAAGTTAAGTTAAGTTAAGTTTAAGTTTTTTTTTAAGTTTTTCAAGTTTTTTTATGGTTTTTTATACTAGAAATATGTATAGGTTTCATTATTTTTATACATTTTATACATATATATATTTTTATATTTCTATAAAAATCTTTAAAAATGAATTTATTATTATTATTAATTAATTAAAAAAACCTTTCAAAACATATATTTTTAATATAAAATTTTATTAATAGACCTTTAATTATAAACTTTTAATATTAAGATTATAAGTTTAAATTTTCTTTATGAACTTGTTTTATTTTTAAGATATTACTGTTAAATTATTTTAATACTACTTTACTTATATCAAATTATTAAAATATAATATATAATTATAATATAAAAAAATAAAGTTTACATAAAGAGATAAAAATATCGTAATATAAAAATATAAAGATGAAAATATAAAAATATATTTTAATAATAATGTACATATAAAATTATTTTAATAATAATGTAAATATAAAAATATATAATATAAAATAAAGTAAATATTTTTATTAATAATTAAAAAATTAAATCATAATTAATACTAAAAGAAAAATATTTAAAAATTTTTTTATTAAAATTCAAGTCTTTTTTTCAGATTTTAAGTTAAGTTTTAAGTTTTTAAGTTAAGTTTAAGTTTTTTTTTAAAAAAGTTTAAGTTAAGCTTTTTTTTCAGAAAACTTTTTTTAAAATTAAGTTTAAGTTAAGTTCAAAATTGCTTAAGTTAAGTTAAGTTCGGGCTAAACTTAACTTAAAAACTTTTTTTTGCAACCCTGCCTATGCCTACGAGTAAGCTATACCGACCGCGTCGACACAGGCAACGCTGGTGTAAGAACCAGGGACCGCTGCGAATAACCAACCCAGAGCCTACTCATAGACCCGTCCAGACGACAAGCCGAGGTTCTGCCGGGTACTCGTCGACCACGCCCCAGAAAATAGCCAGTTGTAGACAACGATGGCTTGTTATCCATCCTCTTCTCCTCTCCCTAGGGCAGCTTGACTTCTACGAGCAACGCTACGGTCAGGCACACACTACCGCGCCCTTCCTTACCGCTCACGCCTACGCACGTCTTACTGAGCTGCCGTCATTAGCCTACTTTCGCCTTGAAGTCTCTCGCCCCCGTCGCCGTCCTGTCGGTTTTATAAAGGGGGTATGTAAGTACGATTTATCACACGATCTAAAGCCAAAAGCTCTCTTCCCTCCCTCTCATTGCCCACGACGAACCCGACATCTACTTTTTGTGTTGGCCGGCTGAAAAACATGTTCCGGCTACCAAAGAATCTGGGTGCAGATTTGCGGTCCCGTGATAGCGAGACGGACAGCCGGCGCCGCCTCATATCAGACAAATCAGAACCCCCCCCCCCCTACCCTCCTTAGACCCGGCCACATAGACATCACGTCGTCGGAAATTGGCCTGGGAAAACGGCATGCTCGGCACCACGAGAACGATGGTGGACTAGAGAGTCGTATATGTTGCTGAGCGCGGCCGCGCCTACGCGGGTGGCTCCCGAACCCTAACCAGAGTCTAGGGTGAAGGGTGTGGAGGTCTAGGTTCGACGCGATTCCCCAGGGTCCTCAAGCCTCACGTCCGCGGATTCGTGGAGTGCAACATCAAGATTCGCCCCAAGATTAGAGGAAGTAATCTGGCGTGCCTATCGATAGAGTTAGCACTTATGTCATCACCCTCATTTCCCATACCGGGAGGCAACGTGGCACGACAAGACGAGACCCATTCGTGCGGAAATAAGCAATGAGGAGCGGCTTACGTCGGGAGACCATGGGTTCACCTGCCCGCGGGCACGGGTCAAACTGTAAGCTATCCGGGATTGTAAGCGTGCATTCTAGAGCCGGTTATAGTACAAGCCACTTACAAGGTGTACTTCAGATGCTCGTCGATCTCCATGATGGCCGCTTGGTTGCCACATCTGTAACAGTAGTTTGGTGCTATGGTACGATCAGCAAGCCTTTCTCTTGATGGGGAGGGCAATGGTGATGGAGATGATGGAAGGGGAGGCGGAGACTTGTAGAGCTAACCGGAGAAAATGGTCACAACATTTCGGTCTTGAGACCAGTTGTAACCCTCCATGACCAACTGGTGTGCCCGCGCAATCAAGGTCAGGCCGTTGTTATGGTTGAAGGCCTCCGAAATGTCCTGCCCAAATGTGTAACCCGCACCTCGAGGGGAGATACCCCAGCCGCATCGGTCGTCCGGGTCAGACCACAGCAGGTCGCACATGGGACCTTCGTGTGGGACCTCCTGAGTCCGCTCAAGCCCTCTGATATTATCAAGCGTGTCGATACTAGGCGACAAACCGCCATGGAGACAGAAGATCTGGTTATCGATGAGTGCGGTTAAGGGCAGGTAGTCGAACAGATCAGTGAAGAACTTCCAGACATTGGCGTTTCCGTACTTGCGCAGGCATTCATCGTAAAAGCCGTACACCTGGGTAATCTGGCGGGACTCGTGATTGCCACGCAATATGGTGATGCGTTGGGGGTATCGAATCTTAAGGGCAACGAGCAGGGTCACTGTCTCGACAGAGTAGTAGCCTCGATCGACATAGTCGCCTGGTATGGTTATTAATAACTTCAGAATAGTTGGCCCCCAACGGTATAACGCACCCATAAATAGATAGTTGGTGTCGGGATTGGGGCCACCAATCTTGAACAGTTCCATCAAATCGTGAAACTGGCCGTGGATGTCACCACAGACCGTAACTGGACATTTCTAAACAGGACATCAACAACAACGGCAGCATGGATTGGCAAGGGGGGGGGACGTACTACTGGCTGGACGTTGGATTCCTCCTGCAAGACCTCCCTGGCCTAGAGACAATGAAGCCCCAGTCAGTACGTTGTCTATCGTAGGAGGGCCAGCAACTCGAAGGGAGCAGGCTCTCTCTGGAGTGGTATGCAAGCAGCAAACTAACCTTCTCACAGAGCCTCTGAACATCCGTCTCAGAAAGCTGCTTGCAGTTCATCAAGCTCTCGATCCAACCATCGAGCGTCGGGATGGTAGTAGGCTCTAAGGCGGGGAGGGGAGTCAATTCAGCAGGAACACGCCCGACATCCTCCATGTTGGTATCCATGATGGCCAATGGCAGACAGCCGGAGTCAGGTTGTGGAAGGCGGTATGTAGGTATGGGATCGTGTCGTGTCGTGTCGTATGTTGTGTGTTGTCGTTCAGAAGCGGTATCTTGGGTCGCTCCGCAAGGCCGCGGTGGAGGGGGGGGGAGGGGGCAGTTAAATAATCGGCGAAGATACGAGACCGTTGACTCGAGATGACGTTCGAAGCGCAGCCGGAGCGGAAGAGAAGCAAAGTAATAACTCCTCGTGTCCTTTGGATCAGAGTCGGCTGGTGGGGTAGGGTTAAGCTGGGTATCGTCGCGATCCAAAGGAAACTGTGTGATGTTGGATGGTCGTGGACTGTCCCTGTGCAAGGTAGGTAGGAGAGGGGAGAGGGATGGCTACTGCTATCCTTGCCTTTCAGATACTCTCGTCGTAGATGTCGTCGCCCCTAAGGGAAAGAGAAACAAGGTGTAGGATGGTAGTCGCGCCCCGGCACCTCTCCGGTATCGTTGCCGCGTTTGAAGGTATTGAGGGGGTTATAGGCGATTTGTAGATGTGATGGGAGTTTTCCTTGTTTGATAATGACAGAATGCGGTCGGACCTCGAAGGCCTTTGGCGAGGGGGAAAGGAAAGGAGTCCCAGTCGGGTTACCTAAGGGGAAGTACCGCAAGTACTGAAACTCATATCTTAAGGTACCAGTCTCCTACTTGAATAGGTACCTAATACTATCTGCCTTAGGTACTTAATGTACCTAGGGTGCTTTATATGTCAGGTACCTAATGTATATATATGCACACCTACAGGTAGGTAGGTAGGTATATGAAAGGTAGTATATATACGCCTAGGTACCTACATACCTACCTACCTAGGTACCTAGGTACTCTATATGTAAGGTATCGGGCAAAGTCATACATGCCTTAGGTACCTTCAGACATACCTGTATCTTAGGCACCTGCGTCACTCAATACCTAACCTGAACATCCTACATTCATATAGATAGCTTAGGTAATCTTCGATATAAATCTACACTGCTACTGCTACACCCTTGCAAAATGATATATACGGATTTCATCGTGAATCAGATCCCTAAATCTCTCTCACCTAATGTGGACGCAATTATGCATAATTTCATGAAGTGGTCTCCCCCCAGTAGGGCGGTAACAAATGGGGAATACAGTAACACTAAACTAAAACTATGCTGGCAAAGTTACGCCGAGACCCACAGTGTCGCTGGGTTTCGTGTCACTGGGTTTCGCGTCGCTGGGTTTCTTGCCGCTGGATTTCGTGCCGCCGGGTTTCGTGCCCTCCGGCTCCCTGGCCTGCGGCTCCCTGCCCACCAGGCCTCGAAAATCGAGGTGCACCTCTTCGAGCATCTCCGCATGGGCCTTGGCTCGGCCTATACACTGCTTCCACACCTCCCCATCCTTCTCGGTGCTGCTCAGCTGCCTCGCTAGGATCACGTTGAACTTGTCTACTTCCTCCTTAGCCCACTTCACGCACGCGCTCATCAGAGTTTGCGGGAAACAGCTCTGGAAGCACCGAACGGTATTTCTAATGATGCTGAAGTAGACGAACGATATCTGCCAGATGTAAAGGTGCAGGTCCCCTTGGAAAATGCATTGCCTACGCTGAGGTTAGCTCCCACACAACTTCGTTGAGAGTCGACAGGTGTGACATACCGGCATCGCTTCTGAATTAGGTCGCTGCGGGCCTCGAGGTATGCCTCCCTTGCGCGATCTTCGAAGCCCAGTCTGTTGAGCCATCCGACGTTGCGTTTCGTCTTTTGCGACTGCGAGTGTGAGTCAATAAGCTCCCGAGCAATTAGCCCAGCTAGTTTCGCGCATCGCTCCTCAACTTTGAAGTCGATGAAATCCTGCGCAATAAGATTGCTCTTCAGGCCCCGCGCCAATTTCTGCATCCGCTCAACACGGTCGACCGCAAGCTCGAATCGCTGTAAGGCGATGTCGATGTCTAGCTCATCCATCTGCCCCTCGACCCAGCGGAGGTTGTGCTGCTTGCCGTCGACCTCGATGAGCATATCCTTGATATCTGAGAGCGTCTCGAGCAACTCCGTCTTCTGCAACAGGCCCGGATCTCGGGAGGCAAAATAATTGATGGTTTCTTTAGCCTTGTTATTAGCTTCCATCTCGGACTGCACATTCTTTCGCAATTCCTCAACTGCTTTCCGGATATTCAATAGCAAGGCCGATTTCTCGGAGTCTTCGGACTTCTCCGTCCGGTAGATGAAGGACTCCTGGCCTACCCCTCGAACCCTGATGGCGTCGACCAACTTGTTCCTGCCGCTGTAGGATTCGCTAGCCACAGCCATGTCAACTACTTCGATATCCAACAACGGCCAGCAACGATCCGCAACGAGTTTCGTGGCCGGGCCGCGAGTGTCATTTGGGTTGTCCGTCTTGCGCTTTTTCCGCGACGCGATCAACAGGTGGTCGTTGAGGAGGAACATCTGCATAGACCGCCTCGGCTTATATGTCGCGTTATCGAGTTCAATCCAAGGCCCAGCATTTTGAACGACGTGGCGGCCCATGGAATTCGGCAAGAATTTCTGAGAGCCTTCTACGTTCTTATAGAGCGCCTGCATCTGCGAATTCCAGAGCGCCGTTCTATCGGCCACGGAGCTGCGTTTGTCACGCTTGCTCAGCCCGGTTGAGAACTCCCCGCTCGTCGGAGCATTGCTGCTACCAGACGCGGCCCTAAGTGCGTTGGTGTTTGTAGCTAACTCCTTAAACAAGTTGCGCAAAGTGCGCATCTCTGATTTCAACTTCTCGGCTTCTTTACTAATCTTGATGAATTGTGCTCGGTTCTGGTAGACATTCTGTTGCAGGTCGACGGATGCTTTGGCTTTCAATTTGCGCAGGGCCGTTTCATAATCTCTAATTTCGTCCTCGGTAGCCTCGCTAAGGATGTTCGCAACATATTGATCAGGGACGAGTCTCGGGTCTCGAAGCGCCTTCGGATCGACGCTTGGTGGCACATCTCTACCTGAACTCGCGGGCACGCCCCCGTCACGCGACGGGAGCTGGCGGGTTCGTGAGGCTGACTGTTCGTATTTCGAAGGGTCGAAGCTGGGCATCGAAGGAACAGGCGGCGCAGTTGCGTCAAAATCAGCGGGGAGATTGTTGAAGCGGGTTGAGTAGCGCCTCTTGACGAGGTCGCTCGTCTGGGAGCAGTTAGCCAAAAAGTAGAGCGCCAAACAAGAGGCACTCCCAAACTTGCCTTCCCGCCGCTGGTAGGGGGTTGTCTCTGCCGGGGAAGAGGCAGGTTACCAGCTGCAGCCTTTCCGCCGGTACTACGAGGCACGGCGACGCCATCGATAGGGATGGGATCTGAGATCTGGCGGGGAGCGCTGATGGTAGGGCGGCCTTTCCTCTTCGGGCCGCTGCGAAGCGATAGTATCTTGCCCCTTTCTTCACTCATGTCGGGAAACTGGGGTTGTAATCAAATCAATCGAGTCGAGGCGGGAAGAGTCGAGGTGGGTTACGTTAGATCAGGACAGCGAAAGATGACGGCTCGGTGAAAAGGGTGGTTTGAGGGCTGTGGGTGGCGGAGAACAAGGGTAGTCGATTTACCAAGGATGGTTGTCGAGGAAGAGAATGAGCGACGATGCCGGGTTGAAGAAGCGGACGAGAGCGTCTCGAGGTTCATTCGCCTTCTGGCGGTTCAGGGCAGATAAGTAACAGGTAGATAGGTACCTACCTCCTAGGGAAGCAGCTTCAAATCGAGCCGGACCCGGGGGACATGCGCATAAGGGCATACTCATACCAGGAAGAGGCAACGGACATTGTTATCTGAACATATGTCATTATACCATTTAGAATATAGTACGGATAAATACGTGTAGACTCTGTATTTCTCGTCATGCATTGGGTCAGGTAAGAGACATCCAAGGTACCTAGGTATAGGTACCGTACACATCAACAGAAGGTACCTACATCAGGCACCTAAGTTACCTGGATGGGTATGCGTGTACTACCTAGGTACCTACCCTACCCACCTATTTACACGTACTCAGTAAAGGGAGAGCCGGGAGAAAGAGCAGGGGTCCCAGGCCGAGCTCTGATTGCACGTCAGAAAAAAATTATGGAAGGTTGCTCTGCCTTAACCTGCTACTTCTGCTTCGTTTTGCAACTCATCCTCGGACTCTGCTCTATTCACCCTACCATCTCGCATCGGTTTCTATCTTGACAATCCGCCTTAGTCGCCGGGCCAATCCATCACATCTATTCCGGCGAGCCCACGCGATCCTCGCGAGATCAGGCCTATTCCTACGCGCTCTTCCGTCTTCAAGCACCAAGCTTATCATTGCCGCACGTAATCCCACCTTCTCCCTCCCCAGACTCCCCAACCTCTCCGGCCTTCTCGCCTCGCCCAACGAACCCACACGCCCGCCTACGCACACCTACCCACTCTGGCAATATGGTCCAGCCAAGCACGATAATGTCGATAACAGCTGCAACGGCGGCAACCGGTATTCTCGGTGCGTCACCGCATCTCTTTCTCTGCTACTTACCACTACTTCGCCAGCTACCACCGCATTTCTCTCGCGTTTTTCGTCTGCCAACCCCTTCATCTCTCGAGTGCCGGACGTCAGCTAATACGTGCCACCCTCCCTCTGCCGAAAATTAGCATACGCGGTCTACTTCGACTATCAACGACGCGCAGACCCCAATTTCCGACGAAACTTGCGGCGGGAGGAGCGACGGCACGCGCGCGCCGAGAAGGAGGAGGCCGCCGCGCAGTCTAAGAAGAAGCGCAGGGATGTGCAGCGGCTCGTTGAAGAGGCTGCCGGGGCAGGTTACCCCTCCGGCGTCAACGAAAGGGAACAATTCTTCATGGATCAAGTCCAACAGGGCGAGCTCCTGGCAGCCGATCGTTAGTCATATCCCCCACCCATATCCCCACCGTTCCTTGTTATGAGTGAAGCACACAATGCCGCTACCCTGCGTGACGTAGCGCTAGGCGGTTGGGCGCGCGGGTGGACAGCGAGCTTGAAGCTCAGGAGGTGTATAAAGCTAACCCAGCGCGTCCGCAGCATCCAAAACGATGGAGGCCGGCCTAGCCTTCTACAAGGCTCTGAAGGTGTACCCGACCCCAGGAGACCTAATTTCCATCTACGACAAGACCGTGGACAAGGTAATAATACGCAAACACTCACCATCCCGCCCTACATTCGGCCAGGCTAGGATAATCCCGCTAACCCTATACGTTCGAAAACCTGCAGCGCGTATTAGACGTTCTAGCCGAGATGATCGCCTACGATAAGAACTTGGATCTCAGCCCGGGCATCAATATTGCGGACTTACCTACTGCCGGTCTAGATTAGAGATGGGACCGAGGACTCGATAGGAGGAAGGGGGCCAAAGACAGGCTGGAGCTCATCCGCCCCCTCCCTCCTTTCCCAGTTGCGAAAAACGATTATATGAACGATGATACTCCCTCCACTCTTTACCTTACGAAACGACAAAAAAAGCAGGTGCATGCATTCGGATTTCCATGTTCTCCGTTTTTTCCCCTTCCCCTTTCTATTGATTTCACTTCTTCCCTGTCTTTAGTCCGTCGGGTTGGAGTAGAAGAAGCTCGCGAGGCCTCACTCGGGCTTTTTCGAGGGGCGGCGGAACGGTCCCGCCGTCTCCGAGAGAAGAAGAGGGGCGGGGAGAGACAAAAGGGGGTGAGAAAGAGACGAGAGGGACCGAATAGAAATACCATGTATGATATAATATACTCCGGCCTGTGATGAGGGGAGGGCTGTATAAGTTATGTTTGGGGGCGGCCGTTCCAATAGACGACGACGACGACGATTACGACGACGACGGGGGATGGCGGCTCCGACTGTATACATTTTCCACAACCATGTTTGGCGGTTGTGGCCGGTATAGACAAATGACGGATCCATGATTCAACCCCGGTTTTTCCTAATCTTCTCTTTCGTTTCCTCGCCAAGCTGATTACCCGGTATATATATTTATATACATGCACGCAGGCCCCCTCCGCCCCTTTTTGTTTTCATGTGCGCTTCCGGCCCACCCAGTCTAACTAACCAGCAAACCGGCTTATTAACCTTAAGGAAAGGAGGATCTAGGACTCCTACTGCTCTCTGCTACGTCCTTTGCTTCGCCCGTTTCTTTTAGGTCTCGATCTTTCTGCCCTTCCGGTCGACTCGTTCGTCGCGCGGGTCGAACCCGCCGTTGCCCCAGGTCGCCCACTCGGGCGTCTCGGCGCCCATGTAATCCTCGGGGGTCCACTCGCCGTTGGGGCCGCGCTCCTCGAGGAGCTCGAAGAAGCGCGCGTAGTCGATGCGCGTGTGCCAGCGGCCGGCGACGCGGAAGCGCCCGCTCGCGAGGAGCACGCAGCAGCTGTGGGCGTGCTCGGCCGCGATGCCGTAGTCGAGGCCGCGGTCGCGCAGCGCGCGGTCGAGCGCCGTCACGAACGCGGCCACCTCGGCGTAGAAGGGCACGTTGGCCATGGTGAGGCCGCCGCCGCCGCCGCCGCCGCCGCCGGAGCCCGAGGACGAGCCGCAGTACGTGACCCCCTTGACCTCGACGAAGCACGGGAGCCCGCGCGCGACGAGGTCCGCGTAGCCCGCCACCTCGTCCTCGACGTTGAAGCCCTTGACGAGGGTGAGGCGGAAGACGGTACGGTGGCGGAAGCGGCGCTCGCGCAGGATGTCGAGGCAGCGCAGGAAGCGCTCCCAGAAGTCGCGGTGCAGCGGGCGATCGATGCGGCGGAGGGAGTCTCGGTTGCTCGCGTCGATGGAGACGTAGAGCTGGGTGACGGCCTTGAGCGCGGCGAGCTGGTCCGGGTGCTGCGCGTTGCAGACGAGGAAGGAGGAGATGCGCTCGGCGTGCAGCAACGCGAGGAACTCGTTGATGTGCGGATAGAAGATGGGCTCGCCGACGAGGCTCAGGGCGCAGTGCCGGATGCGCATCGCCTCGGCGAAGCGCTCTGCGCGCACCCCCGGCACGCCCCGCATCATCTTGATCTTCTGGTAGTGGCCGGCCTTGACACCCGTGAAGATGGCCTCGGGTGGGTCGACGACCCAGCGCCAGTTCGTCCCGACAGGGTTTGTGCCGTGCCGCCAGCAGAAGACGCACTTGTTCGAGCACGAGAGTGACGGCGTCGTCTCCATGCACTGATGCGACGCTATGCCGTAGAACGAGAACTTGTAGCAGGACCCGCGCCCGCGCAGTGCGGATTTAGTCCACCGGCAGATCTTGACTCCCGAGTGTGAACCGACAATGGTGTAGCCCTGTTTTGTCAGGGACGCATACGTCGGCGAGTTCTTAGGTACCATCTCCTTGATTGTCTGGGGCGGTCGCTTCGATGCGGATTTATTATTGTAGGTAGTGAAGTCCACAGCAATGGGTGTGGAGCTGACCGGCTTTTCTGTGCTAGTTTGGGAAGCCTTCATAATCTTCCCGAGATCTTCGACGTCCTCAATATCCCCTGAAGTCGCATTGTTCTTCTTCCGCGGTGCTCTTGACGTCGTGGTTGGCTCGTCTAAGATAACTTCCCCGTCGTCGCCGTCGTTGTCGTCGTCTCCGCCGGAGGCGTATTCGTCATCGCTTTCGACGGCTTCTCCACTCCCAGGCACGCCCTCGCCCAAGCTTCCAGTACGAGCAACATGTGTTAAGACGTCCATCACACCGTCTGCCCACTCGCTCAGCCTCTCTTTCAAATCCCGCTTTGTATCCCCCATACCCAGAGGATAGGCTCTTCTGCGGCCTGTGAGCTTAGCCATCCACTTGTCAACCTCCTTCGCTTGAAAGCAAAACCCCTCGCCCTCTGTCGGCCAGCCCTCCCGATCGCCAAGGCCAAAAACCGAGTATCCCAATATTCCTGATAGGGGCGCTGTGTCGATCCTGAAATCGTGGTGTGTTTCCGCTAAATGCTCGAGGAAGTTGTCGTTGATCGTGTCTATATTGTAGCTCGGTAGTAACAAGAGGTAAAAATAGTCCACCTGCGTGCCAGAATCTGCGGGCTTCGGCGCGCTGATGAAATACTCATCGTAGTCCGCCTGGGCCAGGTCTAAGACGAGAGGCCGCAGGAAACGGCTCTTGGAGCCATCGATTGGCTGGCCCAGAGAAGCCCCGAGTGTCTGGGCAAATTCATTCGCAGTGCCCTCTGTGCTGCCAGTCAGGGAAGAGTAGAACACAAGCACCTGTATCGGTCTTTGGCGACTGTCTTCCGGTCCCTTTCGCGTGCGCTCTGCTCCTCGTGGTTCGCCCTTTATGCGCCGCGGCCCAGTCGTAGTAGCGCCCTTCGCCCTCTCGTACTGCGGGAAGATCTTTTCCGGCGGCGTTCGAGAATTTTCGGTTGTGATCGGCTTCGTGAACGGAGGGTCGAGACTCAAGGGGTTGGTGGGAGGCTTCCTATTCTGGCGCAGTTCTATACAGAGCCAGGTGGTTACCAGTATACAAGTTGTCGCAAACAATATTACAGCTCGATGCTCGTGCCACGGTTCGAGCAGACCTGATGGGAGAGTAAGCCGGCATTCCTCAAGATCGGGAGGGATAGAACTCACCCTCAAAAGATCTACTCGTCCTCAAACCAGGTTCATCCATCCTGCTCTCCACACTCTTGCCTCAATCGGGAGGCCGTATACACCGCCCGTATGCGCTGCCCTATTGTTCTCTTCTTTCGTTCCCTCTGAAGACAGTTCGCGGGGCACATACGTTGGCAGGTACAGAAGAATTCGTGAGATTTTGGAGGGGCCGTGCCTAGGAAGGTACAACGATAACTTAGGTAAATATTTTATGAGTGGACCCTTACCGTACGGACGGCACATATGTGTATAGGTACCTACTGCTATATATCAGGTACCTGTACCCAACCTTCGAGGGTACAGTTCGGTACCCGGGTAGGTTCCTAGGAGGTAGCCCATCCTCATACCCACAAGTATTGATCTGAGCCGGCACCGAGCCTAACTCACTGGGCCAGTGGAGCCCCAGGCCCCACAAGGAAGCCCCTGGCATTAAGTCGATGGCTGAGGTTGCCCCGGAATAAGGGTAGAGAACCCGCTCAGACCTAAGTATGTGTTTATCATGTACTGTGCATCTAACGAGAGCAATACATTCGCTGCCTACCCCCTAACGTTGACGTCCTAACCTCATGTGCCTAGGTACCTCCTAAGGTAGAATTAAAGTCTACAGATTCCACAGTGTCCCGAAACAGGTTGACCCGGGGACGTCTTCGGGAATGTATTTGGATAGAAATGGCGGCACGTTCGTTTTGTTCCGATAGGTATGGAGTTGACGGCCCGTATATAGGTACGCAACCACACTTTTTGGCGAACGTTGGTATATCTCTTCGTCCTTCCCATGTAGCTAGCTGATCAACCCCAACAGAAACATAACACGTCCGACAAGAATGCAATGTCCGCCCTCATTCTGCATCGGGTTCGTCCCCACCAGTGAAACCATTGCCTAAGCATCCGGGTCACTTGACTGCCCTTCTTCCAGTGCCTCCAGGTCGAGATTAGGTATTCGCTTTGCCACATCCGCGAATAAGTCTCGCGCCCAACAAACGGTGATCATGATAGCCAGGGCGTTCCATTGGTGCTGGTTCTTCTCGGAAAGGTTCAGCTGGCATGGGATGTGGCAGGCGGCGTCCGGCTTGTCCGCGTCCAACGTCACGATGAACAGGATATGCTTGAATATGACAAAGCCAAACAGCACTGGCGCCGGGGGCCTGTTCTCTTCCGGAACCTGGTCCATGATCTCTCGCCATTGCACAGCCAGCTCGGCCATTTCACTTTGGATGTGCAAATCCATGTCTAACCTGTCCGCATCCCTCATCTCTAAGATCTGGACGTTGGCCACGAGCTGGCTGCTATACTTAGCAATGTTTCCATCGAGCTCGGCCCAGTGCAGCACCTTCCGAACCGACTCTCTGACAAGATTGACAATTCGACGTCCTGATTCGGGATTCGTCCTCTCCGCCTTCCGCAAGTCGCGGACCCTTCCATGAAGATCGATCAATCTACGGAGCATCATGGCGCCTGTGGAATGCAATCAGCGAGGAGAAGTAGGTGCAAGAAAAGAAGGGCGTACCAGACCTCGGTAATCAAATTGTTCCGAATGAGCGTATATCCTCGGCCGGTGACTCACTGCTTGAGTTTTGGTATAGAACAGGCCTTCTGGCAGAGGGATTCCCCGGAAGTGCATCCTCCAGGTTGAGGGCATGAGAGAGTATTCGTTGCGAGCCTTCAAAATCTCGTTAAGGTAGACTTGTTCGAGCCGCCATTCCCCGTCAGGATCGTTCTCCTGGTCGTTACTCAGTTCGGCGGCAGGCTCGTTCGGACTGCTTGGGATGGCCACCTCTTTGCTTGGAAGAGATTTGACCCCTTTGTCCGGATTGGCGCTTAGGTCTGCCTTCACGTCTAGTCCGTCCTTTACAGAGGCGTGGATTCCCTCACCCACGGCGGCTGATGCTGCCATTGCCAAAACCACCTCGTCGTCGTGCTCGCTCTTGACGGCGATCGGTACTCCACTCTCCCCGCCTCCGCGCGTGGAGGTGTGCTCGGCGGCGTGACTATGAATGATCTTATCCGTGTGTAGGCTGTTGCTCGATAGTAGTCCAGTATCGTCCGTGGGTATATCATCGGAGGTTTCGTGTGAGAACCAGCTACTGAATTCAGCCATTTTCGGGATCAGACATGCCTCGTCAGGATCTTAATGTGCCTAGGACTGTCGAAGGGTGGAGTAAACAGTGGTGAGGATCATAGGGAGGGCCGGGCGAATTGGCAAACCAGATAGTGAAAGGACTCGGACTCAGATCGAAGGGTGATTACAATGGTAGGATAGCCGAGAATAATAGGGGGCAACTCAACATCTCTATTTTCCCCCGACGGAACCAGTCGACCAGCAGCTGTTCAACCACAATCCATTGTCTTATACAGAGCCCGGACGCTTGACCATAGGCAGTCCGGGGGGTTGGCAACAGGAGGAGACACAAGAATGAGTATGAAAGAAAAGCGAAAGACAGGTTATCATCACCAGACCGCATCCGGCGAGCCGGGCAACCCATGAAGGTGCTGCTGGCTCAAGCCTCTTTCCGTTTGCCTTCGCGAATCAGGTTAGCTCTTGCATCCGGCTCTGAGCTTGAAGCAGAGTCGAACCTTCCCAAGGAAGCTCAGGCAGGTTACCTGATGCATATATAGATTGCATATATCCGCCCATCCTGTAGCTTCTAGGTACCTGATGCAGATATGGCGTCTATAGGGAGCCTTGCAGTTTGGTGGAATGGAGGTTCCCATGTCGATGTACCTATGTACTCAGGCTTTGTACCGAGAGAGTACCTGCTTAAGCGCATACACACAGCTACGTACCTGTAATTACCCATCAGGTACCTAGGTACCTAGATACCCAGATATAGAGGTATAAATGCCTGCCTAAGGCAACACCGGATACTTCTTAATCGGATGGGCAAGAACCTTGCCACGTGTCGGAGAGCTGTGGCACTTCGTAACGTCTGCGGTGTTGTCATTGTTGTGCCTGACGAGGTGTGCAGATGTGTACCTACACTGAGGGAGGACAGAGGTACCCAATCCGATATGTGCGGCCTCGAGGTATTACATTTACCAATATTCACTACCAGCACCTCCCTTAGCGTAAAGAGTTAATCTATATCTCTTTCAGCTTAGTTAATTACGATAATTTAGAAAAAATATTTTCCTGAAAAAGAATCCATTGATATATTATTTCTAAAAACTGCTCTATTTATTATACGAAAATTACTAAATATATAACTATCCTCCGGATAGAATAATAAATAATTAAATAATTAAATAATTTTTTTATTTATATAATTAAATAAGCCTAATTATAATGTATAATTATAATGAAAGAAACTTATAAAACTACTCTTATTAAATTTACTTTATTTAATACTATAGAATTATAAGTATATCAAGATATATTTAAGTACTTATCCATTTCTAAAGAAGGAGATAGCTTGCGTCGAAGCACATCCCTCGAACCTGTCTCCTAACCTACCTACCTACATATTTCACTTAATTCTCCGCCCGTCAAGTTTCTACCTGGTCAAGGGTTACACACTGCGACTTGCAGACCGCGATTCACGCGACGCCCAACCTCAACCTACACCAAAACCCAATGACACATATGGGTTTCTAAGTACAAATCTATCATCCATCGCCTGTTGCTTATCCGCACGTGTCTTCCTTCCTGGAGGCCGCAGTTTTTATTTGAATTGTGCAAATACCTGGAGCAGGACCTAAGCATCTCCTCCTTTAAGCTCACCATCTCCCTTCACCTTACTCATCTCTTCGTCTATCGCTAGCCTAACTAATACCTTGATTTTTTCGGATGCCTGGACAGCCTTCGTGATCTCTTCTCCCCCATCACGCAGACTCCGCATATCTGTGTGTCTGTCTGTCTGTCGTTAACACGCCTCGCCCTGAGCCCATAAACTGCCTTCCCGGTTTCTCTCTCCCAAGACCTTTCTCACCAAGCAATGTGCACGTCTGCATGAAGCATTGCCCTCATCTCACTTAGTATGGCTACAGATTGGAACAAGCTTAAGGTCGTTGACCTAAAGGCTGAATTGAAGCGTCTTGGACTTCCCCAGAACGGCCTCAAGGCTGATTTGGTAGCACGCCTGGAAGCTGCAGAGTCTGAGAGAGCAGCTTCGCAGTCCTCAGACACGGCGACCGAAGAGGTCCTGGATGTTAATGGCGAATCCCAGCAACAGCAAGACGCTATCGAGGCAACAGAACCTTGCCCTTCTGTAGAATCTCTCCCTGTTGAGCCCCTTCCCGTTAGGCCCATCATCGAACGAACCGAATGTGAGGCCGCTTCCGCGACACAAGCTGCCTCGGAAACGACTATCGAGACCCAAGAGCCACCGTCGCCCCCATCTCCCCGACCAACATCTCTACAGCCTACCGAAGAAGTGCAGGACTCGCAAAAGCGGAAGCGAAGATCTCTGAGCCCCCCGCCGTCAGTCGAGCAGACTTCACGCAAGAGAGCTAAACAGGAGAATCATGACAGCCAGGAGACCCATGCCGAGGACTCGCCTCCGGACAAGTTCGATGAAGTTGAGCGCCTGGAGGAGAGGCAAGAAGACCCCACCCAAGCTCCTGTGGATGTCGAGATGGGCGATACAAAGGAAGATAGCCCCCTCGAACCAGAGAGCAAACATGGCAACAACGTTGCCCAGCCAAGTCCACCGGACAGCCATCACCGGGACGAACTGAGTGGACAATCCTCGGAAAATAGTGCCCAAGCTACCACCTTCGAAGAACCCCAAGCTGACGAGCCTTCCTCCCGAGAAATCCTTCAGCCTTACACGGAGCATCCCACCGAAATCGAGCGAGACGTGGAGCCATCCATCCACCCTGCCACCTCTACACTGTACATTAAGAACTTTATGCGACCCCTCCGCCCGCAGGCGGTCAAAGATCACCTCTTAGACCTAGCTACACCGGTCGGTGCCCCCCCTGACGATACCAATATCGTCGAGTTCTACCTTGACACTATCCGAACACATGCGTTTGTGGTGTTTGACAGTATCTCAGCTGCCTCACGGGTACGTACCGCATTGCACAGCCGCATCTGGCCCGACGAGACCAACCGCAAGCCTTTGTGGGTCGACTTCGTGCCACGAGAGCGCTTTGAAGATTGGGTTAGCATGGAACAGGCCTCGACCGGCGCCCGTGGTTCTAGCAGCCGCTATGAAGTCGTGTACGATAGCGATGCCAATGGCAATGTGGCCGTAAGACTTGAAGAATGCGACGGCATGCCGCCCGCTCAGAAACAGGTTGCCCGCGCGCCAACACCTCAGGCCGAGCGCAAGCCGCCCATCCCCACTGGGCCCTCTCGATCGTTCCTGGGAGTCGAGGGCGCGCCGCTTGGTCCGCGCGGCTTCCAGCCAGGTCGCGGATCCAGAATGGACAGGGTAGACCAGTCCGCACTATCAACCAATGCCTATCCTAGCGTTACGTACCAACCTGTTTCAGACGAGCTGGTCAGACGCCGACTCGACGCAATTGCTGCAGCGAAGACGATGGACCAGGACAGAGATTTCGGCAAAGAATACAAACGATACTACTTTGAGAGCGGCGACGTACTCGTTGACAGAGGTCCCGAGATCTTCTTAGGCATTCGCCCCCCTCACCGAGAGCGCGAACGAGAACGAGACCGTCGGCACGACCAGGGACGCGACGCGGGACGTGGCCGCCGTGGTGGTAGACCTCGTCGCGGTGGTGGCATGCCACTTTTCCACGGCGTGCCTAGAGGCGGCGATCGATTTCGACCCCAGGATCATGCCCCCTCCGGCCCCAACGGTCGGCCGCGGTACGGGGATGATAGAGGAGGCCGGCGCGACAATTACAGCCGTTACTAATGTCGATAGGAAACAGGTTTGATCGAGGCGCTATGGTCGGCTGAAAAGAATCGTGGGAAGTATCGCGAGCATTGTATATGGATGTACGAAACGCACACGCACGCGCATGGAACCAAAAGCACGAGGCATTTCACCGGAGCATAAAAAAAAAGAGAGAAGCGCCTTGGGCTGGGAACATCATGGGCAGAAAGGTCACGTCGGCGCAGAGAAGGGATAACCCTCCCAATGCTGAGAGGTCCACCGTAACGTACTGATTTCCGAGTTGATATCGTCTTCCTCTTGTTCTTCTCCGGCCTCGACGGAGGCATGATGACTAACAGGGCTGCGAGCCCCGAACCTGTTGCTAGGTAGAGTAGGTGGTGTGCGATATGTGGCTAATAGAGAAACCCCTTCTTTCTATATAAAAAATAAAATAAAAACCAGAAGAAAATAAGAACCAGGGCAAAATATGCCATCGACTTGTACCCAGGTAGAATATGCTTACTATTGTGCCGCGGGGAAGAATCCGAACCTCCCCTCCCCCCCCCCAAGATCTAACCCGCGATCGAGTGCTGGCCGCGGGACTGGAGCTAAGCTATGCCCGAGCTGCGCAGAGTTCCCTTATTCCTGAGCCGCCCCCACACCCCCTCCCCCTCTGCTCCAACCCAGATTCGGCGGACGTGCCGGGAGTCCCTGACGTAGGGCCGGGGCCCAGGACGTGTCCTGACATAACTCGGATGTGTCTGCCCACTGTAGGAGGACAAGAGCAGAGGACAGGGGGAGGGGGCTGACTGGACTGCCTGACTCGGCGTTATATAACGTCATCTAGTCTGCCTCGACGTACTCTCACCCTCGTACCTCTTGTCTCGGGAAGCGGGTGATAGCAGCAGCAGCAGCAGCAGCAGTAGTAGTAGCGGCGGCGGCGGCACTGGTATGCCCAAGACACCGACCACAGAACCGAGCTAGTTGCTTCGTTTTTTCCCGGCCGCTCTCATACCGTAACTCCTCATCGACCTACGCGCGTATGGTGCCAATCGGGAGCCAGCTCTCTAGGCGGTTTGATGGCAACACATACGAAGCCGAGATCCCATAGAGTAGATATGTGCAGAACTTGCCTGGCTGGGATAGTTGGTCTTATGGCTATTTGACGCGTGTCCCATAGTGCTACGCAACGACACATATTCACATGAATTTACTACGGCCGTCGTTTGGGAGAAATCATACCACGTATTCTATTATCGGATTCGGCTAATACAGAAACGTTGGTTTCTCTTCCTCAACATGCGTCACAAAACAGTAGAGGCCGGCGATCAGCCCAAATGTAGAACCCAACGCTGACAGCTGTGGGAAGACGGCCCCCCTGAATCACTCAGTACGTTTCTTTTAGGGGCTTAGCCAATTTACCAAGGCGGCGGGGAAAGCAGACACCCTCTCCTTGAGGACGTGACGCTGGGCAAGTTTGCCCATCATATTCAAGCAGCACTCGCCAGAGGTTCGGGTTGGACGCCGACACGCTCTCTGCTAAGAATGTCGAGCATGAACTGCGACGGGCGGTTGTCCTTGTAGACGGTCTGACAGGACTTAAAGGCCGCCACGTCCTCGATATACTTATCAAACAGGTAGGCGCTGTCCATCGGGCCGCCGCGGGCCTCGGGATGGAACTGCGTTGAGAAGATGGGTCGCGAAACGTGTCTCATACCTATATCTCGTAAATTAGCGTCGAGAAGAGACGTCGACAAGGTTGAAGGGACGAGAGAAGAGATATTGAAAATTACCTTCGTTGCTGCCGTCGTTGAGGTTGACAAAGTACTCCTTCCAGTCGCTCGACAGGGTGCTGGCATCCACGGCATAGCCGTGGTTCTGGCTCGTGATGTGGCATTGTCCTGTGGTCATATCCAGCGCCGGGATATTGTGAGCGCGGTTTCCATACTTGAGCTTGATAGTCTGCGCCCCGGCGGCTAGAGCTAGCAGCTGATGACCCAAGCAGATGCCCATGATGGGAACCTGAGACGTGTCCATCAGCACCCTCAGGTTGTGGACGGTGGACTGGCAGTGGGTTGGGTCGCCGGGGCCGTTGGAGATGAACACGCCATCGAAGTTATCAGCGACCTTCTGGATCTTGAAGTCGTAAGGGAACACCGTGACACTCGCGCCGCGGCTCACCAAGCTGCGGAGGATGTTCTCCTTGACGCCGCAGTCGATGAGTGCGATGTGGTACTTGGGATCCCGAGCCTCCACTACGAAGGGGGCCTTGGTGCTGACGCGTTTGACGAGGTTGATCTGGCCCGGGTCGACGAAACTCTCGTCCTCGTCGGCGTCGTACTCGTCTCCAACCGAGATTCTAGCTAGGGAAGAGCCTTGTTCCCGGAGGTAGGTGACGATGGCGCGGGTGTCGACGCCCGAGATGGCGGGTATGCCCTCCCGCGCGCACCAGTCGCTTAGACTCTCCACCGCGGTCCAATGGCTGTACTTTTCAGCCACGTCAGCCACAACGATTCCCGCACACTGGATGTGGGGGGATTCGAAATGTCTCAACAGGTTCCACTCGTCACGCTGTGCAGACGGGACACCATAATTCCCGATCAGCGGCTGGGTGAAAACGAGTATCTGGCCACGGTAGGAAGGGTCAGTCATCGACTCCGGGTAGCCGACGAGAGAGGTAGTAAAGACAGCTTCGCCAGAGATGTTCGAGTTAGCCCCGAAAGCGGTGCCGTGGAAAATGGGGCCGTCCTTGTTTTCGGTCAGCATGAGGATGTGGGCTCAGGGTAAGAAAGCACGGCTGCTACATACCCGGATGGTCAGTGTAGCCTCCATGCCGGAGGCAGGCTTCGTGCCGGGGGACAGGGACTGAGGCATCTGCCTGCCCCTGCTGCCCTGGCTGGCCTTAGCGGCGAGACCGGCAGTAGTGGAGACGAACCGGGTGTGGCCCGGGAGGGCGGCGGCTCGGAATGCTGGCGGCCTCACGGCCTTCAGAGCCAGTCGGGAGAACATGATAGCCAAAACGGGAAAGGGGGTGGGATGAGCAGGAGAGACTATTCAATGGCCGCTCAAGCGGAGAGAGCCCGCCACAAGTGGTCTAGAATGCACCGTCAGTGGCACGGGTGGTGAGTCAGTTTGACAAAGCACGAGAACGGAGGACAGACCAGAGATATAATCCTGTAGCCAGGAACGGTCAGCAAGCTTCGTGGCGGGCATAGCTTCTTCGCTACTGCCTCACGGGGTGGAGGGGGATGCAGGGTAGGTAGGCCACGAAGCTATGAGGGAGTTGCATCGTGGCCCCTTGGAGAGGTACTAGGAGCTGCGTGTTTCCGGCGGCAGCTGTGGAAGAGGAGGGGCTGAGGAGTGAGGTCACGGCTCGATCTGACACTTAACATACCTGTGATGTGAAGACTGACGAGCGCCCGTTCATAAGCGCAACTGGAACGCGTTCGACCAGAGTGGGTAGGGAGGTAGATGTCGATGCAGACAGGGCCCCGAGGCGTTTGGATGATTCTGCCAATGTGTGTAGTGTGTGTTGTATGGGGCGAAGAGGGAGGGGAGGGACGTAGATGGGGAAAAGAGAAGAAAAAAAGAGGTGGGTATAGGAGACAGGCTGTTTAGGTAATATGCCTAGTTATACGTAGGTAGGTATATACCTAAGTAGCATATAAAGAAGCAGAAATGCCAGAGGTTGTGTGTTGTGTGTTGTGTGTATATGTGCGTTATGTAAGAGACGCGAGAGAGAGAGAGAGAGAGAGATGGGCAGTCTCGGTATTGGTGTCTTTGCGGGTTTCTCTTTCTCTGTCTGTTTTGTACCAGGTAGGTATATGCTCCTTGCTCCTTCCTGGCCGGGACGGGGATGGGAACGCGAAGAGAGGTTGTCGAGAGATGTCGAGAGGCACGCACCAGAGCCAAATCAGACCCGAGGAAAAATGTGTGCTTGCAGAAAAGAGGAAGAAGAACCGGCCGGCCTGGGGCTGCTGGCTGAGAGGCGTTTTCTCTCTTTTTTCAGGCCTCAGATGGGCGACTGGTAGGTGATGAAGGGCGCCTGGTCGATATATCACTGGATTCCGACCTCAGAAAATTCCACCGCCCTAGTCATGCAACCCCACAATATACATGGGTCCATCCAATCAAATACTCTTCATTCCCGTATTTTTCACCTGCTGCGATACTTCGGTAGGTACCGGTTGCCATCCTTATCTGCTGGCTTGGCCGTCTTTATTGAAGCAGCCTAGTAGGTACCTACTTCTTCCCCAGGCCGTTTTCGGCCCCTGATAGCTATTTCACCACCGTACGTCAAGACTGCGATGGAGAATTCATGTTCGTCTAATCGCGGCCCATCCGCCTTGTATGTACCTACCCGTATGGACCTCCATATTCCCCCTCCGACAACGCGCGCCGTCATTGGCTCGATCACCATGGCGAGGCGCCGCTCTGTCGTCATGTTGATTCGCTGCGGCGAGCCTCCCGCCCCAGTTGGTGGGCGTAGTATAATTTATGTTAGTCGGATCACCGTCAGGAGCGCGGGGAAAGAGATGGGTCGGGCCTCCTACCACTTTATGCGCGTCGGCACTGAGGGGTTGGGGGTAACAATAGGTACATGCACCGGCGTGCTCATCAAGCTGGTTCGATGTATCTAGGTCATCTACGTTCGAGTAATGGCCGTCCATTTTCTCGATTCCCCTTGCGGTCCTTCGACCTCTGCGCTTAGATGTCGTACCTAAATGAGCCCTTAAAGACCCGAATGTGTGTCTATCCCGCTGGTACCTAGGTATATGTAAATGACCACAATACACATCTAAGGCCCCAAGCTTCTCGGCCACCCCTGGTTGGCGGATAGCCGCTAGCCCTTGAGATTTACCAGGAAGAAGAATATTCTATCTCTATAAACATAGACGGAGACCCCGCGTCTTCGCTGGCTCCGAGGTCGTCTATCCGTTTACCCGTTCGTTACCTATATCGCACCCAGCTCCTTCAGCTTAGACACCAGACCGTCGACGTCCTCGACCTTGCCGCCACCCTGTCTCGCCGGGGGTTCTACGGAGAGGAAGCCCGCAGTTAGCATGTCAAATGTCTCTTACAGAGGGGCTAGAAGTGGATATCGGGGCGACAGACGGAGAGAGAGAGAGAGAGAGAGAGAGAGAGAGAGAGAGAGAGAGAGAGAGAGAGAGAGAGAGAGAGAGAGAGAGAGAGAGGAGGGGGTCAGAAAAGAGAGGAACATACCGGTGACCTTGAGAACCTTCAACCGCTTCTCATTCGTGACGCCGAGGTCGCTGAGGACCAGCTTCGTGATCGGCTTCTTCCGGGATTTGATGAGGTTCGGCAGCGTGATGTAGCGCGCCGTGTTGAGGCTCAGGTCCGTCGTGATCACCATCGGCAGCTTCGCGCGCACCGTCTCGGCGCCGCCGTCGACCTCCTTCGTCACCTCGACGATGTCCGGCGCCGCACCGTCCTCGCCGAACCGGATCCGGCTCGCCTGCGTCGCCTGCGGCCATCCGAGCAGCGCCGCCAGCATCTGGCCCGTCTGCGCCGCGTCGTCGTCGATGCTCTGCCGCCCCAGGATCACGAGGTTGCTGCGCTCGCGCGCCACCGCCGCCTTCAGCAGCTTTGCCACCGCGAGCGGCTCCATCTGCCCGTCCTCGCCAGCCTCGGCGTCCTCGGGCACCTGCACGAACACCCCGCGGTCCGCCCCAAACGCCACCGCCGTCTTCACTACTTCCAGCGCCTTCGCCGGCCCGGCCGAGATCGCGCAGATGTCCTCGACCCCCGGCCCATAGCGCCCTTTCTCCCGTATCTGCACCGCCTCCTCGATCGCCAGCTCGTCGAACGGGTTCATCGAGTGCTTCACGCCCGCCGTCTCGACGGCCGTCTGCGCCTTGTTCACGCGCGGTCGGATCTAGTTTTTGGTTACCACGCACGTGCGCACTCTCTCGTTAGCCCCCGCGGCCCTGGGGAGATCCCGATCCATTCCGTCCGTCCCCCCCCCCTCTTCTCTCCCTTCACGAGGCGTGAAGCTGCCCGCTCAATCGCAATTGGGACGTACCGAGTAGTCAATCACCCGCTTCATGGGTACTAGGATGCGTAGTGCCGACATTGTGGCGAGGTGACCGTCTTTTTATGTGGGAGAAGTAGGTAACGCTGCTCTGGACGGCCGCATTAGATGCGTGCCTTTTTCAGTCTCGATGCACGCACGTCGAACTTGTTCCGCGGCATGGGGAAACTCTGCCAGCGCCAACCACCGACACCGGCGGTAGCCGGCCCTGGCCGTCAATGGATTGGCGTACAGGTGCTTACCTTCGGTACACCTAAGTAGCCGCCGAAGGTACTGCCTTATGGGTACCTGAGGTGGAAGGTTAGGAGGTACCTACACGTAAACTGACCTTAGGTACCTTAGGTACCTGTTAGTGTATCAGAGGTACCTACAGGTAGGCATCTCTGGGTATAGCTACAGGCTTTTTGCTAGGCGTAAATGCCTCGCTCCGTGAATCGGCTAAGTAGGTATGTACCTAACCTCATATGCAAGCTTAGCTGAACGGTCTGATAGCATAGAAAGGCCACCTGTCCCCAGGTGTCCCGGACTGCTTCCGCCGAGGTTGCTATCGGATATAGGCACATCACTGGTTTGCATGACGGTTACCCCAAATAGGCCACTGGCCGTGTATAGGTAATCTGTCGATTAAATACCTAGGTAGGTACCTAAGGTACTATACAGCAAAGAAAAAGAATAGGGGCACATTCTCCGTCTCTCTCGCCAGTAATCGGCCAACCTACAGGTATGATCGATCCATAGACACATGCTATCCGGAAATCCCGTCTATTCGTACAGCATAGCATCGTATCCCGACATTCAGGGGTATGGGTGCGTTGTAAATTACCCGTCCAGATTGGATCCCTCCGTCATAACAGCTGCCCCCATTTTCCGGCACCCGCTCCCCCCGGTACGGGGTGTTTCCCAACCGTCAATGGCCGGGCCGTCTTCTCCTCTTCTTCGAAATCACCAATCATCCCACTCATCATCCTTCTTTCCCGATGCCGACGTGTTTTTACCCCCGCCTTTGCCCATGGCCGAAGTTCCGATAGCACTATACTTCGGCCCGGTCCCGTGCCGCTGGTCGGCGACAGCGGAAAAGTCGTCCCAGAATGCCTTCTTGCTCTCGTCCACCGGCGCTTGCCTGCGCTCGTCCGTCCCCTCAACGAAGCGGCTGAAGCGCTCCTGCGCCGACACTGCGCCAGCTTGGGCCACCTTGCCCACGTTCCCTGCCGCTGCCCTCGCCTGTGCTGCAAAGTCCGACTCGGATAGCTGTTGCGTATGAAGATTAGCACCTAGACTGACGCATGGGTGCGATAAAGCACCACGAGGGCCATCATCTCTCACCTGTTTGGCTGTCGGTTGTATGAAATCGTCGTTGATTCCTTTGGCCGTCTTGCTTACCGTGGTTGTGAACCAGCCGAAGCCTCTCGTGAGCGCAGCCACCGGATCTTTTTGCACGTCTGCGAAGTCGGGTAGCCCACCGCCATTGTCCTGCGCAGGCGTAGGCGTGTTTCCAAACCCGCCGTATTTTCCACCTTGGCTGGGCGGCAGGTCCTCCGGCCGGGTCGCGTTCTCCTTTCCCAACCGCGAGAAGTACTCGTCGTCAACTTTAGCCTTGACGCCCGGCCGGCTGGGACTCGCCGTTCGACTCCCGCTCGTTGCCACGCCCTGGAGCGGCGTCCCGGTTCTGCTGATCTGCCTTATGGGCGGCCCCGACGCGCCGGAGGCGGGTTTTGGTGTGCTTTTCCGCTCGCCGGGAACGTAGTCCTTGCCCTCGACCTTAGCGCTTAGCCTCTCCTTCCACTCCTCGCCCACTTCACCGCTATACCGTTCCGCAATGGTGGCATCGTCCCAATCCAGACCGCGCATCTTTGTGTCGTGGTGCTGCTCGAAGAATGACCTCCACTCCTGGTTGCCACCGAGGCGCATGCGCTCAATCTCAGCTTGCTTGAAGGCGTCCATGGTGACCGAGCGGACGAAGGAGATGTGGACGCCGAGGCCCCGGTGAACGCCAGCGCAAGAGAGGCAGATGAAGACGCCGAACTTAGGAGAGGCCCATTGTGGGTTCGGGGCGTTGCAATCGCAGCAGACATTGTTGTTGTTCGTCTTTTGGATCACCAGGAGCTGCGTGCGAATTGGGAGTTAGCAAGCGCCTAACCGTGTAAGAGCCGAACGCGTCCCACCCCGCTCCCAACACCTGTGGCGATCGAGACATGAACAATTCCACGGAGATTTGGTGGCTGTGGTTTTACCTTTGATCTTGTCTCGGGGTCGACCTCCCACATAGCTTTCGAGGCCATGACGGGCCGCTGTTGCGCCGAATCAGCAGCGGGAACTCCCACGGGTGCCTTGATAAACAATTTGTCGCTGACCGTCAAGCACGGACAACTTCGACGGAGGGGACGGCAATTCGAGTCTGTCGAGGGTTGGATGCAGGTAGATAGGCGAGTCGGAGGACGCCCGAGCTAGGTATAAGGCACAGGTAGTTAGGTAGGTAGGTAGCTACGTGGTAACTATTGTGATGAAGCAAAGTGGGATTCGTGCACGCCTGCAATCTCCAAGAATAGACGGAATAAGGGATAAGGGGATATGACCTTGGACGAATCGAGCAGGGATCTATCGGACACGCAGGACCGATTGTCCACATAAACGCCACAGGGCCATCCCCTGCTGGCGACAGGTAGCACCACTCAGCCGGCTGCCTTATGAGTATGTACCTGAGTAGGACAAGCACCCCAAAGCCCAGTAGCCTTGGCACAGCCACGTGCGACCGAAGTACAGTACAAGTTTGGCCAGTGCCTTGCCTCGACGGCTCGCCTGCCAGGCACACGACGTTCCACCCGTTATGTAGGTAGGTAGGCACTCGAAGCCTTCGATCCACGTAGTACGCCCGATTATCTACCTACCTCCACCTACCCTCTCTCACACATCACCGTGGCATCTTACGCAAGGAGTCGACCTGTTTCTCCCAAGTATATATAGAGAGGACCAGCGGCCGACAACCATCATTACGCATACGTGGTCAATCGCAATTCACTTACAAGCTCACGTATCCCCGGTCCTAGTTCTATCATGATAGAGAGTAACCGGGCACATCTAATCACCGTTGGGGTTACACGGCACCATATCATGATCAATCGTATCTATTCTGTTGCGCTCGCGCGAACTTTTCCGGGTCCACTCCCTAAACCCCAGGCCCGGCGTCCAGCTAGTGGTACAGCCCGTGAAGGTGCGCGAGAAGGGTTGCGAAAATCATTCGCAAATTAACATCCGTGCCAAAACTGCTCCATGGCGGCTGGGACGTATGACACAACATTGCTGTGCGGCAGATGCCGCAGCGGCAAGCTGCTAACAATCATACAAGTCGCATGTGCTGCCTTGGGGGGCTTTCGTATCATTGCAGTAAAATCAAGAAACCGGCCATCCCTGATGAACAACGTACATCTCATTCATCGTCAAAATCTCGACCGACGCGCAAGTATTAATGTTTCACTGGGTAGCAATGATCGTTCGGACCCGGTTCTCATCGCAGACAAAGTTCGTACGGTCGAGGATGGTTGGAATAGACCTAGGCGGTAGCCGGAGCGGCCGAGGCAGCCGGGGCCGTCGAGGCAGCAGCCGCAGCCGCAGCAGTATCCGACGCAACTGGCGCAGCAGCGGGGGCCGGCGCAGCCGCAGGAGCGTCCAGCGTGGTCAGGGTAGCCTCCTGGCCATTGGTCTCAGTTTCGTGAATGTTGGCTTCCTCGTCCGTCTTGTCAGGACTGTCAATAGCGACCTTCACAGCTATCTCTCGGCCCTCGATCTCCTTGCCATTCATCTCGGAAACGGCTTTCTGCTGCAACTCCTCAGAGGCAAGGGTGACGAAGCCGAAGCCTCGGCCCTTGCGAGGCTCACCTCGAGCCTGGAGCTTCTTGATCATAAATCGAGGAATTGGTCGAAGGGCAATCTTGGCAGAAGAGGGCTGGTAATCCTCGAAGAGTTCCTTGAGCTATGGACGAGTCAACAAATGCCTCCACTCGCTACCGTAGATTCATCGACTTACCTTCTCTTCGGTGAGGTCATAAGGAAGGTTCGCGACCATGACCTTGTTCTTGGAAGGGATACCATCGGCGGGTGGACCACGCTCACGGCGTTCACGGGGAGGGCCCTTCTTCGCACTCTTGTCAGTCTTGTCAACATCGGCCTTATTAGTGATGTCGGTCAGAGGCAGAACCTCGGAATCGGGAGCGGTAGTTGCATTTGCAGCCGAGTCAAGAGTATCCTCGTCCTTTCCGCCCTCCTAAGTGCCAAGTCAGCGCCGCTGTCGATACATTTACGATTCGAATCAGGTCAAATCTTACAGGTCGTCCGCCACGACCAGCGCGGCCGGCGCGACCACGGCCACGACCGCGGCCACGGCCAGGGGCTCGGCGCCGAGAACCATCAGCGCCAATCTCGCCGTTGGCAACCCCCTCCCCCCTCTCGCCAGCGGGCTGAGGAGTGCGAGCAAGCTGGACGGACACCTTGCGGTCGAGAATCTCCTTGCCGGAAAGTTCAGCGATGGCACGCTCGGCCTCGTTCGGGGTGGAGAGGTCAACGAAGGCGTAGCCAACGGGGCGGTCGGTGCGAGGGTTCTTAGGAATGGAGACGGACTCCCTAAACAAAATACAAATTAGTACGGACACCACATCTCACATCACTTAAGACACTGTCGCAAAACAGTAACATCCCCGCCGCTACCACCAAAAATATCGAGCCGGGAGAGCTACAGGAGGCCCTCCATATAGAGCCCTCAACACGATTCGAGGCTAGGCCACGCTGATATCCATAGTAGCATATGGTAGTCAAAGAAGCGGTACTAGCGATAAATGCATTGATTCGCCTCGCACCACACGCGAAGTCTGGGGGAGGTGGGGAGGAGGACTTACACAAGGTAGGCCTTGAAGAATTCTTTCAACTCCCCCTCAGTTGTCGCATATGCGAGGTTGCCGATGTACAGTCGGCGGCCCTCGGCGGCACTGGCATGGACGGCATCCTTGTTCTCGTCCTTGCCAGTGATAGAGGCATTGCTCAGAGCATTGGTAACGTCGTTGACAGCAGCGTCGGTGACTTTCTCCGCTGTGGTGGCCATTGTATCTGTTGATCTTGGGCGGGAGATTAGTTGGTGCTGGGGTTGGCTGGCTTGACGGAAGACGATGATAGACGTTGAGGACGTTCGGGCTTGGGTTCAGTATTGAACTCTTGAACAATTTCGGGGGAGGAATAGGGTGGCTACGTGCCCTAGAAAAGATTGGGAGAGTTGGGTTTTGGTCGACGTGTGACACAACGAGCTTGAGATTGATGGAATACGAGAGGTGTGAAGAGGAAATGGGAGAGAGACCAGATGGTCGGACGCGGCCAGAATTTTTTAAGGGTTGATGTTTCTTGTGTGGGTCGCCGTGGGAGGGATAAATGCACGGCAGGCGTGGGTGAAGCGCCGGTGAAGAGGTGAGTGCGTCTTGGCAGGTGCGCCTGGGCCAATCAGAAAAATGCGAGAGGAGATACGTACCTCTTTCCCTCCAGGTGTGTTACGTCAAAAGTACCGATCCGGGTAATATCTTAGGGTGGATACATCCACCGACGGAGAGTCTGGCGATGGGCGCAATCTAACTTTGCTACCAGTTAGTTTGGGGTGCTCGTCTACCAATAGGGAGGACATGCGTGTTAAGAAGTGTGCCTCCGGCCCTTTCTTGTCCTAGCCACGCAGCCTAGCAGGCTCTGGAATCTAGTAGTGGCCTGCCTACCGGTAGTTACCTAGGTACGTGGAGAAGGCGAGAGCAGACACAGGTCGAGTCAGGCGGAAAGTTAAGGGGGGTGGACATAGGAAAAGAAAAAGAAGAGAAGGGAAATAAAGGGGGTGCGGGTGGAGGGAGGTTGAAAATAGAAAGCGGCAGAGATGTATGTCAGAAGGAGTCGGGTAGCTGGTGGGTTACGTAGATGTAGGAGCGTTCGAGAAGGAAGGAGGCAAGAGCCCACCATAGAGGCGGTGACCGCCGTATGAGGTAGGCAGGTTAGTTAGGTAGGCAGGCAGGCAGGTACCTGCAAATAGTGTCCTCAGCTGGAACTACCTAAGGCAGGCGCTGAGGTTTTCGAGCTGCGAGGTTGTTCTTGCCTCCAGGGCAGACATCTGTACCGTAGTTGCCATGGGGGCTATACCTACGGAGCTGATGCGCGTCTATATGTAGGCGTGTATACATTTCTTTATGCGCGACAGCCTGCCCCATATCCCCATGCCAGGGAACGGACTGCCAGCCAGGCATATTTCGACTTGCATTTATTCGATTCCCCCCTCCCCCCCCCCTTGTTCTATAGTTACCTATACTACCACCTGGTAACCTAGGCAATAAAGCAGCTGGCAATACGGAGTGTATCTTAACAACCTAGGCACGTTAAGTTCCCTACCTGTCGTAGGTGTATAAATGTAAAACTGGTTATGTAGAAAAGCCCTTGCCTCATTTGTTATTACATACCTACCTACCTCCTAGGCACATTTCCTTAGTGGTGGGCGGCAAGTGCCCGCGTACTTATTGTATATATGCATGAGGTACCTCCATACCTAAGTATGACTATATTAGATGATGCGAAGTTTCTTTTATGCGTTGTGTCCGCAACAGCAATGGGTTATCGTATGAGTAATTGGATGTTGCGGAGGCGCGCATTGAAGAAGGGTAAATTGCACGGTCTCGACGCCATCGTAACACACCCATCTAAGTATAGGAATGGCAGCTGAAGGGAACCCGCCCTCATCCAACGGCAATCCTCCGTCGAAGTGCCTGTGCTATCGTATGTAGACAGGGCAACCGGTGTTCGAGGAACGGCGTCGATTTTAATTCTATGCAGGTTCGCTTTCCCCTCCCCCTTACACCTCTAGGCTTAGGTACATATGGATTGTACGTGCCGTATTTAACAATCCAATCCGTATTGCAGTTCCGTGGCCTATGGATCTCGTTGGGCATTCTGGAAGCCTTCAGAAAGATGCTTAGGATTTCGACGACGGAGCCACCTGCGCGCTGGCAAAGCAAAGCTAGCATGGGTCTCTCTAGGCACACCCCATACTCTCTACAATATCAACGCCCTCCTTGTCTTTAAGACTTCACCAGCCTATAGAACCTCGACAACCTAAAGGACAGAGGCATCTCCCCCTTTTCTCCCTTACCGCTACTACAAGAATCGTAACATTGTCCAGGCAATTAATAATTTGCTCTCCGTTAAGGGCCCAAACCTTGGGTGCCCAGCAGACGTAATATCCTTATACCTGCCTATATTCTATCGACCCGGCCGGTATAACGAGGCCGTTCCCGCACCGATTCTGTCCTGGAGCAAACGAGTGCGACATCAACCGACCGCCATAGTCAGCAGCTTCGTATAGGGGGTTGGATCAAACGCATACACACCTATATAAACACGCCATACTACCGTCGGACCATCTTAGCAGGCAGGGCAATACGTAGGTATCTGTTTACCTAGCTGCGGAGATGGGGAGATACAGTCGTTGGGTTCGGTCCACATGGCTTTGTCGCCGCTTTCGGCTGGCAGGTCGGTTCATTAGCCCCCGTTGCGTGCATGAAGTGCATACGGCGAAGAGGACACCCTTATTACCAACATGTCGGCACCCTGGATGCAGACGACCAGAAGATGTCCCCCAACGTTACGCTGCAGTCCCGGCCCCTTGGAGAATGTCATCATCGTTGTCAGGCTGCTGCTTGTGCGGACGTATTGCTGAACGTACGGCTGAACGTACGGCTGAACGTACGTATGTCTGGTAGGTACCTAGGTAGGTACCTGATAGGTAGCTCTAGCCTACATGCATCCTGGTGTAGGAGGTGCTAGTAGGTGCAAGTAACGTAGGTATATCATCCTGTCCGCTCGTTTCCCCATGTACACTCATACTGACCCTAGGTACCTAAATAATCAGGTAATCATGAGTCGACGCAGCTAGGCGAAGATTCGAGGCTCTAACTCGATCAGGGGTAAGATCGGATCTGAAACGTGGGCGCGTGTGTGTAACGTAGGTACTATGAGTACATCCTGTTGTTAGGTTAAATAGGCAGGTACCTAAGTAGATGGGTGGGTGCCTCCTGTGTGCCTCGTTTGTGTATATACCTAACCTCAGGGAGATGTGTCTGCGAGGTAGGTACCTCCTATCGAACGTGCTCTCGGCCTAAAACCGTGCCCTTCTGCCTCTTACGGGTTATCCACCTACCTAAATAAACTATGGGGTTAAGATCGCGAGCCCTGTGAGCGCAGCCTAGGATATCCATCCTTTCAGCCTTCCAGCCTTCCCTTGATATCTCCAGAGCCGCTTTAACCCCGCACACACCAAACCCGCTTGACGACGACAGCAGCAACCATGGGTTTTCGGTGGATACCAACCAACACATGCTACGTGGTAGATACCTCTTAGGCATGTTGTTGTGAACATCATCCAATCGGTGTTAATAGATGGAACGGAATCGCCCTTCTGTACCGCCCACCTACATGCTGAGGCTGCATGTGGAGACGTGTACCACTGTATCTCTAAATACGGATGTAAGTGCTCCATGTAGTGCATGGAAGCCACACGTTGAGACTGAATTGGATATTCCAAGGAAGCTCCCCCTCAGGCACCTATATCGTCGCATGACGTAACACCGCCTGGACCTACCTAGGTAGGTAGACATCCACTTCCTTCTTAAGCAGATATGTAGGTACCTAGGGTAGTAGGCAGCTAAAGGAAGGGGGAGGTAGGTACCTACAGGTAGGCCTGGAGTTAGAGGTACCTAGGTAGATTGTCAATACCCGGTACCTAAAGTGTGAGGTAGGTAGGTAGGTATGCACGTACATACCTGCCTACGGTACCTCAGCTGAGTGCTGCCGCAGGCCTTCAAATTCCCATCTACACCAATCCGCCATGCGGTTCCGCGACAAGCCGGCGTTCTGGGGTCTTATGTAACTCCAGTATCAAACTTATCTTATCAATCTCATCACTTCTCCCTTCTTCATTTTTGCTTTCTTCATAGATCGAGTCCTTCGCCCACACTCTTCTGCGCCCCCCTCCCCCTTCCGCTTTTGCCCCTTTCACTGCCTTCAAGCCCAGCATGGCGAGCGAGCCTCAACGCATCCGCGACGGCACCAGCATCGAAGATGAAGCGATCCCACTGGAGGACAGGCGCATGCTCATCCTTTACGGATCCGAGACCGGCAACAGCCAGGATTTGGCAGAAGACCTTGGGCGGCTGGCTGAAAGACTACACTTTCAGGTATTGGTTGGTGAGATGAACGACGTCGAGCTCGTAAGCAGAATCAATCTTCCAATTTGTTTAACTCTATCCGTCGGCCAGTATCGAATCGAGATACGGGGGCAGATCACCTAATCCGTTGTCACAACACCCACCCGGTACCGTCCAGTTATTTAATTCCACAAATGCTTCTTGCAGAAAAGGGGGCGAAAAGGGACACAAATAATAAACATGAACGAGAATAAAATATATAATCCATTCGTCCCTGTACTGTTTGCTGCCGTTGTCGCTGGTTGCTGCGCACAGGACAGAAGCCAACCCAATCCACCTCTCGCCACCTAAGTAAATTTATCTCATTCCCATATTCATTCCCTTTTCTTACTCATCTTGTACTATTCGGTCGAAAACCCGCTCGGACCCAACCCCAGGTGTTATTTGTTTGAATACACCCCCATCATCCTTCCCTCCGTCATCCCAGCAGCGACAGCGTGTCCTGGCAGCACAACTAACTGCCTGCCTGTCTACCAAGACTACCTTATTGCAATATCCCCTGACTATATTCGTCATCTCCACCACCGGTCAGGGTGAGCTACCTAAAAACACGCTTAGGTTCTGGAAGAGCCTCCTTCGCAAACGCCTACCACCGGACTGCCTCCAGAGCCTCAACTTTACCACTTTTGGCCTTGGCGATAGCTCATACTCCAAGTAGGGCGTCCTCATTCTACCCTCTTCTACCCCCCTACTTGCTACATCATCTTCGCCCCCACTGCTGCTTGGGAAGCCGTCTGGCTGATATCTTCCTCTCGACATCCTACAGGTACAACTGGGCAGCGAAGAAGCTTCACAAACGCCTCAGCCAACTTGGTGCGACCGAGTTCTTCCCACGTGGTGAGGCTGATGAGCGTCATGAAGACGGGTAGGTGCATCTCCCTAAATGCTGTCATTATCCCGGCTTCGAGCTTCTGTGCCTAACTCTTTGTTCTTATTCCCTCTTCCTGCCCAACAAGGCCTACACAAATCACGGGCGGACTAGGATTTAAAACTAATTCTTATTTTCAGAATCGATGGCACTTTCTTGCCTTGGTCATTAAGCCTACACAGCCATCTTCTGCAAGAATACCCCCTACCCCAGGGCCTGTCACCAATACCATCAGATGTACAGCTTTCCCCTAAGTTCACGATAGAGCTAGCACCCACAATGGATTCTCCGGATAAACCAATGTCGGATCGTGACAAGCCCCAGGATGAGGTCGCAGGCATTGCAGATCCAACTTCCAGCACCTCATTACCTGGCACAGACGTTACCAGCCAGTCTCACCAACAAATCCATCAGGAGCAGGTCCTTGACCGAACCGCAGCACTTTTCAGCCATGTTGATACTCCTCACCCGCGAGGCATGGAGCTAGCTTTGCGGTCAGAAAGGATGTCTCCATATAGTGATACTTATGCTGCCCGCCTATCAGAGCATACAGCCAGCCTGATCCAAGGCGGGATCGACACGTTAGACCGACCTAATGTACTGAGAGATGACCCAGAAAAATACTCTCTAGAGGTCTCAGCGAGTGCCAAGGAGGTCGCGCCTCCACCGGATCTCCTCCCGATCCCTGACGCCTGGTTGGCAGTCGTTCACGACAATCACCGTGTAACTCCTAATACTCACTGGCAAGATGTTCGGCTCATAACCCTCGGTGTTCAGCCCCGGGCATCAATAGGCCCTACGGAGAAGAAAGACTACTTCGCTTATCTACCAGGTGACACAGTTGTTCTGTACCCTAAAAACTTCCCTGCAGATGTGCAGGCGTTGATTGACCTCATGGGTTGGCAAGACGTCGCCGATATTCCCCTTGAGCACCACGGAAAGCAAAACCAGGGGCTCTACTCCCGACCTAGAAATTGTTTCCCGCTATCCAACAGCACCTTACGGCAGCTCCTTCTTAATAACTACGACATCAATGCTATACCAAAACGCATATTTTTCCATGATATCGCCTTCTATACGGTGGATTCCATGCATAGAGAGCGGCTTAGGGAGTTTGCAAATCCTGGCCACTCTGATGAGTTCTACGACTACACGTCCCGACCCCGACGGTCCATTTTAGAGGTGCTTCACGACTTCCCATCCGTAAAGATACCATACCAGCATGTCCCGTCCATCTTTCCCACTATCAGAGGCCGAGAGTACAGCATAGCAAGCGGGGGTAAACTGATTAAGAGTCGGGAAAACGTAGAGTGCGCTCGAGTGGAATTGCTGGTGGCGTTGGTGAAATACAAGACGGTGCTGCGAAAGACCCGGCAGGGGCTCTGCTCCCGCTACGTGGAATCCCTCAGCCCGGGTACGAATATCATGATATCACACAGACAACGAGATTCACTGAATCCGGGCCTTCACCACAAGCCGCTGTTGGCAATTGCCCCGGGCACCGGCATTGCACCAGTGCGTGCTTACCTCTGGGATCGACTGCAAGAATCTCCGGCCGGGCCGGTTGCGGTGTTCTTTGGCGGGCGGAATCGCAAGGCAGACTTTTACTTCGAGAATGAATGGGCCGAGCTCCAGGCCAAGGTCTTCACGGCCTTCTCTCGAGACCAGAAGGAGAAGATATACGTGCAAGACCGCATCCGCGAGCAGGCGCCACTGGTCTGCCAGTACATCGAGAGGGGAGCGATCATCTGCATATGTGGTAGCTCCGGAAAGATGCCCGAGGCGGTTCGATTGGCCCTCTACGACGCCATGGTCGCCGGGCAGCTCGTGCCCGACCGCGAGGCCGCGAAGGCGTGGTTGTCGACGAAAAACCTAATCTGGGAAGAGGTTTGGTAATGCCTAGTGGGTGCTGTTCCAGGACGAAGGGGGATACCGCCACGCATAGGGTCGCGGATGCTTCCCCTAGCCGCAGGTTCCTGTGTCCTCCTCTAACATAGACGCAATATACACCATCACGCGTGCACGATTTGACCTGAACGCAAGTGCCCGTTTTCCGGATCTAATCATATTTGACTCTCGTCTATACACCGGATACCTATGCCCAATAGACCGAATCTGCGTTGAGGCCACAGCAGCTGGTCGGGTGTATTTGCTTCCGGATATGACTTGGTCGTAAACACACCTAGCTTGGATAGGTAGACTTAACTGTGAGCACTATCCGGTACCTCCCTGACGTATTAAAAGTTGACGTGTATACATTAAAAGGTCATCAAGAGTTCCCGTATGTCACCGGCACATGTGGGGCCTTTCTCCTTTCTACTTTTCCCTAGTGATTTGTCTCGTCTCGTTTCTCATAACTGCCGTATAGCCTACTCTCGGGGGAGAATTACCCCTATTTGACGTCGTCTTTCGGGGGGTGAGGCGATAGTAACTTAAACCAGACCTACCCTGGGCGTAGAATATCGGCTCTTACCGCCGCCGAGAAGAGTGAATGCCTCCACTGGGGCTCGGGAACGTGCAAAGCATAGCTTATACTAGACCGTGGTGCGACCCCGGGTTCTGATCTCACTTGGAACTTGGGGTTGCTGCGGGAAAGGGGGGGGGAGGGGGGACGGCATTTATCATGCTTTAACGTGCCTGACGGATAGATCTATTAGACCGTAGACAAGTAGCCTCGATATGCCGTGGCTAGGTTTGTATCCTGAAGACCCGGGCGTCCCTCTCCTTGTGCCATTTCTACCGAGCATTGATATCCCAAAGCAACACAATCCTAGCTAGTATTGGCAGGGCCGTAAACGACGCCCCATCTATATGTTTTATACCTCTCTGTCCAACGTAGTATCTACGTAGACTTCGTTTCTGTCTTTCTTCTAGACGACCACAGTTCGTGGGAACTTAGCCCAACGAAGCACACCGGCGTGCATATATCATCGGTACCTACGGCCCCCTTCCCTCTAGGACTTCTCCGGGGCATGTTTAGCACGTGGAGGTTCCGTTAACACTACTGCCGTTGGAACCCTCCGCATGTTTTCCCGGACCTCCTGCGGGACGGTCGTGCGTCTGCACAACGGGACACAAATCTGGGCCATCCCCAACACGTCGGCAATCCGTCCACCAGCCGTGTCGAGGCCTCGCGGCTTCGTTTCTGCTATGGCACCGGGTACATTCCACATACTCTCCTGCTGGGGGAGGGGGGACGCGTGGTAGTTCTCCCAGACCAGACCCGACGCCACCCTACCTGCCATCCGCGCCCGCACCCACGCGCCCGGCCGCCTGGCCCACCCAACTCACCTGCCTATTCGGCGTAGCTAGCGCTCCCATTTCCGGATCGAGCGCGACGTGCCGAGCAACGATCGCCGCGCACACCACGACAAACCTCGGGACTTTCTCTCTCTCTCTCTCTCTCTCTCGCCACACGCAGGCAGCAGGCAGCAGACCGTTCGCCTCTCGGGACCGTCACATCTGCAGGGGCGCTGCCAACAGGGACCTTGTCCACGAACCAGAACCTCCCTGGTCCCTCGGGTCTCACGTGGCGTAAGCGTTCTGCAGTGGATGGGGGCGGGCGGGGCCAGGCACTCGCTCGCCCGGCCTCCTCTCGAGCAATCGTTGCATCCACAGCACGTGGCTACGGGGGTGCAGGGCAGACTAAGCCGGTCGCCACACACGCGCGCTGCATACACACTACTGCAGCGTCTATCTGCTCAGAGGCGAGGTCGGGTCCGTGCCTCCCTGGAATGGGAAGGACGACGCAATGCGGTAAGCTCAGCAGGTAGGTAGGTAGGTAGGTAGGTAGGTAATAAGCCGGGTGCCAGTTTTGGGGTCTTGAGACGCCGAGAGGCGAGCCTGGGTTCCGGGCGGCGAGGTTTTACGACCGGGGGAGGAGGAGCAGGAGCAGGATGGGATGAGAGGTGGAGCGGGGGGGAGAAGGCGAAGGAACAAGAGAAGCGAGGGCGAGAGACAAGAAGAGAGCAACGCTCCGCTGAGCTGAAATTGAAATGACGGGTGTATCGCTTGTGGAGTTCAGTAGGTATTTGAAATAGCAGGTAATACTTACGTGCGTCTATGCGGCAGCCGTGCTGATTCCCCTCCCCCACCTCTCCCCCCCCCCCTTTTTTTTTCTTCCTCTCGGGAGGTGGGATGGGTTTCAGTCTTCTCTCGTCTTCTTCAGCACGCCCCCCCCGGCGCGCGTTGGCGGCGTCGCTGTACAGAATACCAAGAAGAGCAAAAATAAACCCAACTTCTTGCTAGCCCCTTCATAGCCATTGCCAACTTATCGGTGGCGAACACGTACCTACGGCGTACCTAGCGCTTCTCCCGCCGCCATGCCGCGCGCATAGCTCGGCGTTGACGACGCTTTTTCTCGCTGGGTCTAGACACCTTGCCTACCTACCTACCTACTTATCCGCCTAGACGGGGCCTGCTGGTTTAGGCTTTTATATTCGCCGAACGCATCCGTCCTCTCAGCTGGCGCCGCTCCTCGTCGTGTAAGGCGCCGAGTAGCGGGAACGGACTTGGCAAGAGGGCGGTGGCATCTTCGCGTCCCTCCCCTCCTCCTCCTCCCTTCGCCCATGCCTCCGTCTCTCTCTCCTCTCGACCTCTCGTCGGCCCGCCCGTGCGGGGAGGACGTGCTCGCCCAGACATCTTACCGCGCTGCGTGTGAGGAGGTGGGAGGGTGGGTGGATGGATAGGATGGTAAGGCGCCGTCGAGGCAAAATACGCACATCGCAGCAGAGACGTCGCAGCCGCGTGTTTCAGTCCGTCGTCGAGCCGAGACGAGGCTAAATCTGACCTGGCGCCGCCTACCCGACATACAGACAACCTATGCGACGCTCTGGCGGCCCTTGGTCGGTATGCAATTCAGGCAGGCATACGGGTATATGTAGGTGGGTATAAGCATTCGTGCTTAGCGATGATGCCAGATTGTGTTAGGTACCTGAGGTGGGTAGTTGGTTGGCCTAGGTAGGTAAGGTAGGTACCTAAGGTGATAAGCATCCCTGGCCATGCATTCCCCCTTTCCCCTTTCTCCCTCTTCCTCTCGCATCTTTTTTTCTCTTCACATAGCGTGGCCGTACGAGAAGGATTCGACGCTGAGAGATGCGATGCCCAGACTGGGAAAAGTTCCGGCGTAAAGAGATCGAGACTGTCACTCAATCCTTCCCCCTCCCCCACAGCTAATACCACCTGGTCTCTCCCTCCCCGGACGTTGCAATTCAGATGGGTTTAGCAGGCTACGTGACCAGAACACATGGGTGGGTGCATGTAGGTAACAAGGGTAAGTCTACGTTCGTCTATCTTCGAATCTTCATCTCGGCTCTGCAGAGTAAGCTCCTCAATGCTCTTCTTTTATTTATTTCCCCAAGTGCCCTGCCAACGCCTTCGAAGCCGTCGATGGTGCGGCTATGTCATGTGTGAAATGTACACTGTGGTCCATCTAATGATTAGTTATAAGTACCAGACGCTTTCGTTCTCCGCCATCCTCCGGCTCGAACTCGGTGCCAACGGTGGCGGGATACATCTCCGGGTATCTTCACGTCGTTATCTGTCCGCTCCACTGTTGCCAATATTGTGTGCGCCATAAAACACCCCAAAACCCCCGCCAACCCTTTAGCAATGGAACAAGAAGGGAAGGGGAAAAAAAAAACACCCCCCAGTTGTAATGTAGGCAGCGCGAATGTTAGAGCTGGAGAAGGATTTGCCCCAAACACCCGGCGCCGATAGCCATATATAGGATTGAGAATACTCGGGTCCAATCCGGTCGTGTAATCGGTCCACCGTTCTCCGCCGACTGCGTCGCCGTAGGGATTATCATCGCGACGTTGTTGCCGGCGCCTGGCATTAGCGTCGTAGTTGATGCATAGGGCGAACCGAGGGTCCACGTCGACATGGCCACTCCTTTCGGCCCTATTGTCAGGGTCTGGCCGTTGACCACCGTTGTCATTACCGGGGCGCCCAAGCCGATATGGTATGTTTTACCCCCTATTTCCAAGGCATTTAGACCTAACTGTGTGACGGTCGCTCCACCCACAATTTCGTAGGCAGTGGCGGCAGGCATGGCGGCAACCCCGCCTAGGATCTCGTTATGAACGATGATGCCGGTCGGTGTGATCAAGATGGTGTCCCCGTCGACGACCGTGGTAATGGTGCTGCTGAAACCAGGACCGTAGCTGATCGTAGTGCCCTCGATGACGACCCTATCTCTCCCAATCGCCGCGATGAGTTCTCCTCCCATTACGGCCGTCTGCGTCGGTGCGGGCCCTGCGCCAGCGCGTAGGGTTTGCGTGGGGAAGATGATTCCTTCGGGGCCAAGGGTGATCGTCTGTCCCTGGATAACTGCAGATGTTGGCGTGGACCTGATGGTGAAGACTGTGCCGTCAATCGTTACGGCCGACGGCCCGTATACCACCCCCAGGCCCCCGATGGAAGTCGTTATCGTTATAGGTACAAACACGGCCCCTATATTGGGGGGAGGCCGAGTAATAGTGGCGCCGCCGCCCATCACCCTAGACGGATCAATAACGAAGGTGTCGCTTCCCACGACTACGGTAGACGTCCTTTGTGTCGGGTTGTCGGTAAACGTTCGGTCATTAACTACTACCTCGGTAGGCTGGACTATCACGGTTATCGGAGTCGGGCCTTCACTGCTGTTGCCGGTTGGGGTCGGCGATGATTTTACGGACTCGGCATCCGACGGGAGCATGCCGTATTGAGGGGTAGTGATAACTGAGCCATCCTCTGGGGCCGGATCGTGGCCGTTTTGGTTCGAGGGCGGCCCACCGTAACTGGGAGGAGGCTCGCTAGGGAAAACCACGGCTGGATTTTTATCTGTTGTGACCATGATGATCGTCTGTGTTCCCGCCACGGTGTGGGGTGGGCCGGAGCCGTCCGTCGCGGTTGGATGGATGATGGTACATGTCTTCCCCGAGCTATCGCAGAGTGAGACTGTTAGTCGACCCGTTGGGCTTTCCTTCGGCGTACATCCAGGATCTTCCGGAATGCTGATGGGCGGATATGGCGGCGTATAGTCTGCTGGGTCCCCAGACCAGGTCGTAGTGGATGTGTAAATGACGGAATAGGAGGTGATAGTGACGATGATCGGTCCAGATACCGTCGGGCATTCGCTCGGCGCGTCGAAAGTCGATCCTGGAACGGTCTTTGACGGAGGAAAAGCCGTCGTGGATATAGGCGACGACAGGGTGGCGTTCCAATTCCATGGTCTTGAAGTGGCGTTGAAATTAGAGGATGAGGCCGTCGGCCATACGTATGTCTCGATGCCTGTATCAGTACTAACGGCCGGCTGGGAGGTCGGTCTGGGGATATCCCTCGTCGATGTCGCGGTAGGCAATACGAGCGTCGGCCTCCGAATTGTGGTGATAGTCCCCAGGTTGAATATAGTCCACCAAGTGTAAGCTTCCGATGAGGCGTCATTGTCCTCAGTTGATGGCGCGATGGCATATGCGTCCCCACTAGAAGAAGCGGCCAGGGTCGAAGCGACATCTACGGGGCTTCGATACGGCTCGGGACTCGTTACTGCGGAGCTGACAGCTAGCGGGATATCAAGAGAGCGAGTGGCCACTGAGGTCGCCGAGGCCGCCGTGTCATTGAGAAGCGATATTCCTCTGTTGAAGCGACTGGGACGATGCTCTTCTACTATGTAATTAATATCGCGCGTCCTTGTGACGAGGAGCCAAGCGAGTCTTGACTGACTGACCATGGTTAACTAGTGTCACGCCGCGACTAGGGGACGCCGCAGCACAGAGCAGTGTCAGGATGACAACGAGCATGGCGTGGCCAGGACAGGAGCGGTGGCGAACCCGATCTCTCACCCGGCGCTTACACCGGCCTGTCTGCCTTGAGAAAGGAACCGACGTCTCGGGATCGCATCTAGAAGGGAATCGACACGGTTATATCAGAAGTCACATCACGTATAATGCAGAGCGCGAGACGGGAGGTGGTGGCATCCCGACACCTATTCGTGACGAGGATGGCGGAGCGGCGGCTTTATGGCGAAGTGCCATAGCGCCACAACTTCAGTGCCCGTTAGGGGAGGGAGGAGGGCGTATGAAGTGGGAGAAGTCCAGGCGAGCAGAGGCCTGTTGGCGCAGATTAACAAGTACCGTAACGAGAGAGAGATCAACACGAAGGCGGGCCGTTGTTTGGTAGTGGTTGCAAGAATATGAAATTGACATGCAGTCTTGGGACCGTTTTTGGCCCGAGTAGTGGGCCGATTCATTTAGATGTCGCCTAATAAGAAGGGAAAAGTGCATATATTCCCGGAAGACAACTGCCGTATTTTAGATACACGACGTTTGTAGCAGACGGCTGCAAAGCGAGCGGGCACTCTCCGTCTCGTCTATCTGTCCCGTCTGTCTGTCACGGCTTGTATTGCCTGTTCGCTTCACGCTGTTTTCTTACCTTGGGTACCCAGGCCGGTGGGTGTTGCTATGCCTGCCTTACCCATCCATTACTGATTATGTAGCTGCGTATTTATTGATACGATGTCGCGCTCGTTGCGAGTTGCAGGCGTCAGCAGCTCCGGCCAATATGCAGACTGTCCAGCATGTAGGCACGAGATGGTCATGCTCCCGTCCGATGGACTTTCATTCGCTTCCCCAGATCTTCGCGGGGTAGGGGATTTTGGGGGGGGAGAATGCCCCCAAAGCGGCATCTGGACGCTGAGGTGGCCAAGAGAAGTGCCGCCGGTGCGAAGGCGGAAACCCGGTCTCGTGTGTGGATGAGTTGTCGAAGATAGAGGTGAAGATCAATCATTTTGCCGGATGACAATTGAATAGTGCCATAGTGCGTCGTAGTGCCCAGGCCACATAATGGGTAGGGGTGGACGGCTCGGGCGCAGCCAGGTACCTAGGTAATAAAACATGCTTAGTTAACCCAGCCCTTGGCCTTCCATCGTTGTGTATACCTAGGTACCTAAGGTATGTATGGTAGGTGTAGGTACCTATGTATATAGATAGGTACATAGTATCCGATACGTTTATGCACAGAGGGCGATAGACCTTCCGTATTCGATTTGTGTTAGCTTAGGTACCTTAGGTACCTTAGATACCCTTACCTTACCTCGGGTACTTCTTCGGGACGACGTCAGACCTGCTGCGAACAGCCTGACTATAGTAAAAACCAAATGTAGGTACATGCCATGCTCCCGAGTGATGTGCCTAGTAGCCCGTTAGCAGCCCTATTAGGCGCCTGAGGTACCTTAGGTAAACCCATTTGGCGTCTAGGAGGCAGGAGGTACTTAAGGGAGGTACCATTCAATGAGACAGGTAGACAGGCACGTACGTACCTAGGTACAGAGAAGTTTCCGTCAATTTTACAAACGGCGTAGCCCACATTGAACCTGCATTTATATATGTACGTAATGTGTCAATTGAGTCTCACCGTGCATGCCGAGGTACCTAGGCGGGTTCCAGTTATAGATATTGATGTATCTACGGGCTTGACCCTCTACCCTGTCTCCGATGGGGATCTCCACGGAAGAATCTGCGGATCTTTTATGACCAGGTCCAGGCCGGGCCTATAAGAGGCGCCTCTTAAGTGTATTGATCTTGTCGCCTACGTAGGTACCTAGGTAGATGCGTGGGGATCTAGGTACCGCTCGACATGGTAGGCACGGGCTTCAGATGGACCCCGGCTGTGTAGGATTCCGAGAAACAAGAAAACCGCTGAAAAATACCGTCGAACCTATCCTGTCGAAAGTGCCAGATCCCGACGAGTCAATCAAGCGATCGCCAGCCACAATCCCCTTCAGGCCTTCCTCGCTACGCAGGTACCGTGCGAAGTATGCGCGAGCAACAGCGGGAGGGGGACAAATACATAGTCGCCATGGCTGGGCTAGAGAGCGGTAAAGGGCGTTGATAGGCTGGCCAAGAAATCCTCCCGCATTCCTTCCGGTATTCTAGACTTAAAGGAGGGCAACGTAAACTCGACGTTTATATATCGGTACATACCTACGTATCATCTCGGTGATTACCCTCTACCTGTACGGATACGTTAGATTATGAGGCATCTAGGAGGTACCTATTGACTGCCTCATGTACCTACCTACATCCTCCTTAGGTACCTGGGCATAGACCTGCTACGTGCGCACTCCTTGTATTGATCGAGAGATCTATTGATGTTCAAGAAGGATAATGAGAGGGGTTAGATACCCGATATAGATGTACAACCTCCCCTCTCGGGTCTTTAATTCAGCTTTGTAATTCTGTAGCAGAAGGTTTATAATTGAGATACCTACCTCAAGCCGGCATCTACTCACGAAAGTGTTGGCCAGCGTTTTGGGAAGGGATTGGTTGGGGCGGGGAAGTCAACTATTCATATAATACCGCTGAGAAAAGGGGACGGTCGAAGTGGAAAAGCGTGCCAATCCTGATTTTCCGGCTTTGAACCTCGAGGAGTGACGCGTCCCCGTTGCCCGTCGATACCATTTTCTTGGGATCAAGGTCGGTTAGAGGGCAAGCCCATTGATCCGGGTTCCGGAAGACGAAGGGGGAAAAAAAAAGAGAGAATGATGTGGGCCGCCCGAATCGCCATCCCGTCACCCCGCGCGTGCACTGAGGGGGGGAAAGACGAGTCCATATCGAGCGAAGAGGGGGGAAGAATCGGCGGGAGGTAACCTATGCGTTACAGACGCCTGGCACCGCTTACCCATTTGACGTTTCCCATATGTACGTACTACGTAGTATAGGTACCCGGATATCTCATGTACTAGGAGGTAGGTACTTTAGGTACGGTAGTCCGCCTCTGCATGCTACGTAGTAATTACCTACCTACCTCAGCAGGTCAACTTCGATGTCGTCCCCAGGTGGGTCCGGCCTAGGACTTGGCTGGGGGAACTGATCATCGTAGCGTGTGAGCCCACTTATCTCAAACGGCGTGGGATCCTCTCGATTCCTTCGGTTCGTCGTCGTCGCGACTGGTTCGACTCCGGTTGCGACTGGCTTACCTTTTGGTCCCGAGACGATTCCATCGCCACCGTTGCCATCGTGACCCCCCCCCTTTCTCTTTGCTCACAGGAAAGAGGTGTATATTTCGACGACACGGTACTGTACTTTGTCCGAGCCAGCTTACGCTTTAGGTACTTAGTGCGGTGGCTCCCCTTTATTACCTCGACCTGTCGGCAGAAAAGGCCTAGTCCGATCTGTACTTTATTTTACCCAGGCCTGTCGCGTTCCCGTCGGATTAACTACATCGAGCCTCCTGCCAGCTTTCCCGTGCGGCGCGGCGGCCCCTAGCAGCACTCAGTAGGAGGTAAAAAAGATGCTTACAGCTGCTAGTGCCTGGCCGTCCCATTTCCACCCGTCTCTTTTAGGTAAGTGAAGGCTGGGTAAGGCCGTGGGACTAAACCGTAAGGCGTAAGAAGGCCGAGAAACGCTCTTCATACATGGTTCTTCCCAAACTGACTCCATCTGGGCCTCTGCACACACCTCACGCATCTGCCCTCGGGGCGCCGAAACCTAATCTAACAACTTACCACCTACCTACATAGTAATACGGGAGCTTTCCCCCTGCGCAGGTGTGCCTACTAGGAGGTACCTCGTGGCCACGTAGGTAGGTACCTGTACCGCAGACACCGAGGAGGGTAGGTACCTACCTACCTACGGCAATCGTGTGCCCTGCTATGCAGGTACCTACCTGGGCATGTACCCTCGAAGGAGCAGACGCATTACATCAGGTCCCTACCTCCTCCGACGTGAAGGTACGTAAACCACCGAGTGGGAAGAAACCCATAGCGACGGAAGAGCAGGAGAGTCCCATACCTAGTGGGTTAGGTGGGAAATCCCCGATATACCTACCTACCTACGTACTTACGCCATTGCACACCAACAACAGAGGGCAGCAGGCCTGTAGGGTTAGTACATCTATCGGAGGTACGGAGGTACCTAAGACACTTACCTCAGGTACCTAAGCTGGTACCTCTTATCTACCGTAACCTGCCATGTGCCGCCGCCACTCTTCCTTCATAACCGTACCTACCTTCGGTACGTACCTTGGGTACGTAGCTTCGCTCCCCACCCCTCCTCCCTCTCACTCTGTTCGCTCGCTAGCTTTCACTTTTCGCTCCTCCTACCCTTCCTATCCTCCTCTCGCAAGACTGTCTGCCCTCGCCGCCTCGCTCGCTCGCACAGTTGCCTGTCCCTCGCCTGCTGCTGGCTCCCAGTGCTGGGCCTATAGGATAACGTCGTGTACGATACGCACGGGGGCAGCTCGATAAACCACCTACTACGTAGCGACATTTCTAAACGAACATGTCGGTGATAGGCCGGCACCCGGCCTCAAGGCTGTCAGCCATGTTCGCATCCCAGACCGAGTTCCATGCAGGTAGCGTGGTCCTACCTCCTGACGGGCACCCCGACCACTATCGAGACCCTCTTGACTCGCATTTTAGCCACATTGTGTCCCCCTGTCCCCTAGTCCCCCCCGTACAACGCAAATCAATACTACCTAAGTCGAGAGGACGCCCCGCCGATCTGCTACTGGGCCTGGCATAGCACTGAGCAGGGTCCCAAACCGTTTGTGAGGAGGTAGAAGGTAGGTTAGGTCTGCCCCGGCAGATCCCGCCACGGATGGGAATCCGCCTGACCATTGATGAATTTGTTTGCTTTTCTCTCTTCTCGCATCCAATTTGCACCAAACCCCGTTTCCCTAACCTGCCAGTTGCCGGTTCGACTCGAGACACGTCGGCACAGACATGACAACGCTCGCGACCGCTCCGAGCCCCCGCAACTTTCGATTTTGATGGACTCGGGTCAAATTCACGTCGACGTACCCGCGAACCTGATGAAGTCTTGGATGGGACAGAGTTGGTGACCTAGCGCGTCTCCCGAATGACAGCTGGGCGGTGCGGTGGCCGCACAATGTCGTCGTACTTGCTCCTAGCCATCGTCGGGGCGTTATTCGTACCCGGCTTGGTCAAGGCCGATGACATTCCTGCTTTATGGATCGAGCCGTCTCTAAAGTGGCACGTTGACCTGCGACCAGCTTGCGAAGAACAAGGAATTAATTATGACACAGGTACGGCATCGACGGCAATTGGTCTTCGCTCGGTCTCTTCGTGGGAGAGCCAGCCCAAGAGATTGACGTTACCGTGAGCACGAGTTTGTCCGAGATTTGGGTTGTTGGACCTGGCGGATGTAGTCCTAGTAAGTTGACTCGAGTCTCCTTTTGGCACGGCACTCTAACACATTCCCTCTAGATGCTCTCTGCGCCGCCGCTCGCGGGGGAATCTACAACAACAGCGCATCGCGAAGCTGGTCGCCGCTTGGTGCTTGGCGCCTCGGACTAGAGTATCTCGGGCTTGGGGGGAATGGCGACTATGGGATGGAGACGGTTGTCGTGTACGACAGCGTGCGACGTTGGCAAACCTCCTTCAATAAGCAACTTGTCGCCAGCATCATTGAGACCGGCTATTACACCGGCTTCTTTGGGCTGGGTATTACTCCGGGACGCTTTGAGGACGTTGTCGCGAACAGCCCCATTGCCACGCTGGTCCAACAGGATGGCACCATTCCGAGTCATAGCTACGGTTACACGGCTGGGGCCTATTATGGTAAGTAGGAACCTCAGCCATAAGCGCATGTAGACGGAATTCCTAACCGAAATCAGGTGGCTCGCGGGGAACTCCTTTGTCACTGACACTGGGTGGCTACGATACCAATCGCTTCGAGCCTCACGACGTCAAATTTAGCTTGAATTCCACCACAAGGCAGCCCGATGTGCTCGTAAGGGCCATCACCGCATCTGTTACTGACGCTAGCAGGGCGCCGACACCTTGGTCAGCCTCGTCGACCACGTTGTCGTCTTTCAACGAATCCATGGTTGCTCTGCTTGACAGCTCAACCCCCTATCTTTGGCTTCCGTCAGCCATATGCGACCGATTTGCGGCCAGTTTTAACCTTACATGGGACGAGAGGTTCGGCCTCTACTTGTTCCCTGACCACGAAAACCTTGATCGTTTCCGCTCGTCGCCGGGTCTCTCTTTTGCCTTTGCGCTGTCGAGTGCGGACAATCGCGACAACTTTGGGCGGCCCCTAGACGTCCCGGGAGTTGTGAATCTTACGATTTCCGCCAACGCATTTATCCAGAGCCTTCGCTACCCGTTCATGAACCTTATCGAATACGGCGCACCGGCGCAGCCCTATTTCCCCCTTAAACGGCTTGAGAATGGGAGTAGAGTTGTCATCGGGAGAACCTTCTTCCAGGAAGCTTATTTGATCACGAATTACGAAACGGGTACGTTTTCGGTCCACAAAGCCAAGTTTCCAGAGAGGCCGCTTCGGGATACATCTATTCAAACTGTAGCAACCTTCGAACATAGCCCCTACCCCGGCCCGCCGGAACGGCCTAGTGACGGGGGTCTTACTGAGTCTCAAACTATCGGCTTAGCGGTGGGTGCCTGTGCTCTAGGTATAGGTGCCATCGCGACTTTCTGGTTTGTTCGTCGAAGGAGGAGAAACCAAAGAGCGTCGGGAAGCGCTGAAGAGTCGGATAAGGACAAAGCCTCCACAATCGAATTGTCGCCACCTAATACACCGGTAGCCCGGATCGTCTCAAAGATGTCGAAGAATTTCCCAACCAGGAAGTCTAAGAAGGGGAGCACACGCTCAGGGCGCTCAAAACGTTCAGATCACGACGAGCGAGATGAGCAGGAATTGAACAAAGAGCTTGGCGTGTACGAATTTGCGGCGGACCAAAACCACGAGCGTTATGAATTGCCCGGCCCGGAACCCGTAGAACTGGACAGTACTATGACGAAGGGGCCGGCAGATGCCGGCAGGGGAGGGTATAGGACGAATACCTACGAATATGCACAATGTCAGCCAGAGCAGCAGAAACGAGGACTCATGTCTAAATACAACCCTCGTATGATGGATTTATCGGCTAGGGCCTACCACAGTACCAATTCAACGACGCAGTATGGGTCATCGGCTCGTATCGAAAGTCCCTCCCCAGCATCAAGCCCAACACACGACACGCTAAGCAACAACATTCCTTCACCACTGAGCTCCCGGAGCGACTGGACGAACGGAATATCGGACGTTTCTTCTCCCCTAGGTTTCGTACCCGCCCACACCCTCTCACATTCGACTTCTAATCCGAACATTGCTTATGCACCGCCATCGCCGTCCTCTCTAAGCGGTCCTAAGAGTGGGTCACTTGGCCGTTCCGCCTCTACTGTCGGGTTTCCAATGTCGAACGCCCATCAACCCACAACGACCCCAGCCTCTTTCCAAAGGGCACCGATCGAGTCGTCCCGGGTGGTATGTCTCGGGCCTCTGCCGGACAGCGTTCGTTTGCCCCAGGAAACTTCGACACATGGGGTCCTTCATATTGATGGACGCATTATTGCCATGCCTCCCATGCCCCCAATCCCATCCGACGATGGCGAATCGCATCGTGCTCTCAAATCTAATCGTGTGTCCACGGCCGACACGCTAGGCAGCAACTACACTCTCGAGGAGGAGGCTCGGATGGCGGCGTCGCGAGAAACGATGAATATCTTCGGCCGGATAGAGGGAGCAGATATCATCCATATACCTCAGCCAGCCTCAAGACGATATAGCTGGGAGGAACAGTGACCTACGTGGACCCCTCGAACATTTCACAGCTCAAACTTCCGCAATTCTTACTGGTTCCTTGTTCCTTTTACGCATCTGCTTTCTTTCGACCCCCCTTCGCACATTGGGGTTCAACGCTTTGGTTTTAGATATACTGGCGACGGAGTTCGGCGCCGAGATTTTGGTCGTATATGAGCGGGATATATGCCTCTCTCTGACGAAGCGAATGGGCATATTGACCTGTGCATTGAAACGGCGTTTAGAGTGGAGAATTGTTTTTGTGTCTTTGAATACACCACGTCGCAAGTGAAAGCCAAGAGATGGCAGCGTCGGCGGCGGCGTGCACTGGACCAATTAATCTATATGCAACCCAAGGTGGCGGCTTGTGATTTTCTTGCCCCTTTGAAAAAAAAAAACCTAAAGCGGCCGCGAGAAATCCCTCGGCATAGCAATACCAACACTACGACAAGGATCGAGACACTGAACGTTATAGCTAGCTTGGGAGATCTAGTTAAATTTATCTATTAGCATTCCACCTAGGCATCTATATCTACGTTTGTATATACATGGGGGACGCCCTGTTTCAATAGGGGTTTAATCTACCGAAAATCCGATGTACAAAAAGAAACACATATTCTTAAACCGAGGAGTGTGTGCTGGGTTCGGGGGGGGAGGCTTAACATTGAGCCTCTCGCCGTCTTGTGTGAACGTTCACCTCCTCTCGCTAGCTAGGATTAGAGACATTTGTACGGAGCGCGTTCGTTGGTTATATCTAAATACATAGCCCCTCTGCGCATATGAAAGGGGTCCACTAAGCGGCGTAGAATCTGGGCACCATACCGGGCCGACTCCGGTCCAGCGAGCTTCTTTTCGGTTACCGTAATGGCGTGGCATATAAGCTGCGTTGATGCGGTGCTCGAGTGGTGAAGCGTAATACATCCGAGATCAAGGAGCCATCCCAAGGCCGACTGCTCGTCTAGAGGAGAATGCTATAAGCCTGACTTAACTATTGGTAGATAGCACACTGGTTTACCAGCTAGGGCGGGGTGTGCGGCGAGGTTTATTAAGTTAAACATTCAGTAATTGAACTAATGGGAGTAAATATGATTACCAAGCCCAGCAACAGCGAGGACGATGGGAACAAAACATTTAGACAGTAGCGAGCCAGAAATAGAAATGGGGTTGGAGAGAGGGGGAAAAAAAAACGCGCTGCTTCCTCGAATTAGACCGCCTTTCCTTTCCCCTTGTCGAAGGCGCTTCCAAGAGCAGGGAACTCGTCCTCTTCAGTCTTCCGAGTAGCCATGCTTAACTTTCTGCTCTCTTCCTCAGCTAAACTGAGCTGCAGCGCGAGCTCTAGATCGTCATCCACGACGATCGCAGAGCTGGTTGCGATGGTGTTTAACGACGCGGCTCTCGGGACCAAAGTAGGGTGAACTCGCGATGGCGAGCTAGACGAAGATCTTGTGCTTTCCCTGGCTTTGGTTGCGATTGGGACGTCGTACTCCCCAATGATACAGGCTCTCGGTGATTTGCCCGCCTCACCGACACCTTCTAGGAGCGATAAACGAATAGCGGTTTGAATCTGGTGCTCAAACTCGCTCTCGTCAGTCGCGTCGATATGCGTGTTGGAGCTGTTCGATAGAGGACTTGGACCGGAAACACTGGGGTCAGGGGTAATGGTACTACCCGTAGTGGAGCTGCCATCGAAGTCTGCAGCCGAGCCCGTGTCACTGATACTTACACGGCGCCGCTCATCGACGAGAAAAGACTCCTGAGATATTATCTCAGCGTAGCGTAAGGCTTCCTCCTCTGTCAAGCTGCCGAAACCGACGCCAAAGCGGGAGCGAAGGCGGGCCTTTTCTTGCGCCTCGTGTTGTTGTTCGTCGCGAAGCTCTTCAGCTTCGGCGGCAATGTAGCTTTCGACACCACCACCGTAGCGTCGGCCAATCGTTCGACCATGGATGTCTGAGTGGCGTTGTCGACGTTTGTGACCTGTTGCGTGGTGGGAAGAACTGTACGCCCAGTAACGTACGAAGGTTCCAACAGCTACCATTCCGTGAAGAACAGTCGGATCAGGATCCAGATAGATCGCTCCAGCAGCCGAATGGTTTGTGGTATCTAATGTAGGATTGGCAGAGAGCTGGTGACGAAGTGCGCGGCCGGGAGAACGCGAATTGATGGTCCGAATTGGGCCCGTCGCAGAAGCCAGAGGATCCCAAGCCTGGACTAGTCCGTCGCTACCGCCGTGTACGAGGTGGAGGGCAGAGAGAGCCAGGGACGAAATTTCTGGCGATTCCGTCCGTATAACTCTGACAGGGAACAAGCCGTCGCCGGTATGAGGTTCCCTCATATTCCATAGTACTATCTTCCCTTTGTTGGTGCCTACTCCGAGAAGTCTCGCTCGCCTGCCAGGTATGTCCGATAGTGATTGTCCCGTTGGCGTCGTCTGCACATCCGAGGCGAAACTTGCTGCGTCTTTCGAGGGTTCTTCAAAAGCCGCGATGAGGGCAAGCTGTGAGTTATCTATGCTGCTTGTGGTCACCTGAGAATTCCCTAGGTCCTTCGAGTAGAAGTGCGTTTGCAGCCAATCATCCGTGTTTGATTGTGCGAAACTAGCCGTATTTGAGGGTGAAAGCTTGCCCGAGGACGATGAGACTTGTTCGACTAAGGGTGAGCTGTGTGAGTTAAAGACGAAAGATTTAACACCCCCTCCGCCAAATATAGAGGGGCTAGATATCGTCTCCGCTAGGGATTCCTGGGAGTCGGGTTGGGCTTGGATTGTGATACTGCGGCAAAACCGCCTGATAGCCGAGGTTTGGTTGTCCTCCAGCCCGCAGTCGATGACCAATATGCTTTCACCGGCGCCATGCCCATCGTCGCCACCAAAGTCAACCTCAAGCTTCCGGCGCATATCCCATCCGTAGCATGCCTTGCGGAAATGCGTTGGCTTGTAGCGCATGAACCTTTCTATTTCGCGGGCTTCCGCGATCATCTGATCTTCGGTCGTGCCCGCATTATTCGAAGAAGATCTCGACGAGTTGGCACTAAAAACGGCGTTTTCGCCCGACTCGTCGGGACGTGCTTGTTGTCGAGTGGCCTCCACCAAGTGCCAAGTAGTCGAGCGGCCTGCGTACCACGCAAGCTTAACGCTATCGCGAGCCCGAACCTTGCTTATAGGGGCGGTCGGCGACTGGGTTAAGTAATATATCTCGCCGAGTGCATTCAGAGCGACCGCCCACACCCGCCCGAGGGCTCTCCGTTTTTGGTTATAGCCATCGTCAACTTTGAGTGCAACGATAGGCACGCCTGGACTGAGTACCCAGCGAGCGCTCATCTCTCCTCCATTGTATCGTGGCCCAGACGGATCGTTGCCAAGGGCAAACGTTGTCACAACGCCTAAAGAAGACCCGGTCATAATTCCAACCATTGACTGGGTCGTGGAAAGAATGGGAGACGACTTGGCGATCCAGACTGAGCAGATGGCTTCGGTAAGTTCAGGTATCCTCGGGATATCAGGATGAGCTTCGCCTATCCCTGTTTCTCGACCCAGATACTTCCCTCGAAACTCGCCAGCCGGGCGGTAGAAGACGCTGCCGCCAGGGATCCCCTCCCCACCAACAAGACCATGCGGTTGACTAACGTCCATGACATTGGGAACTACAGTGGAACCTTCGCCGACCCCATAAGGCAGGGGTTGAGGTATGAGGTCCTCTAGTTGGACGAAGCTAAACAGTTCATCCAATCCCCATTTCTCCAGCTTTCCGCTGGTAGGGTCACTAGCGCTGCCGACGCCCATGTCCGAGGCTCCGTGAATGGCCCGGGGCGGTTTCTTCCCGCTGGACTTGAAGACGGCATGGATATGGGTTACCACCGCTGGGAGCTTCGTGTTATAGGTCAAAACCGCGCTCGTCTTTCTACCAGACTTGCTGTTTCTCGAGGAGCTAATGCCGGCCAAACTCGTCCCTGGTTTGCCCCTCGCAAGACTACGTAGAAGTCGAGTCCTTAATAGATACTCGCTGCGCCAGGAGGCATGTGGCGTAAGACGCGTGAAATAGCGTGTTTCTGAACGTACGTCATTCAAATCGTCTTGACCCCGCCGCAGGCTTTGCGGCTTCCTAGCTGTGGTCAAGACATCCCGTCCAGGAAAAAAACGCTGGAAAGCCATGCGCCATGCATGAGGGGTCGTGATCAAGGCATAGAAGCGTTTTGATACCAAAGCTACAGATGCGTGTGAGTCGGGATGCAAGTGGGACAGAATTTGCGTTAGAATCTCTGCGACTTGGTTAGGCCTTGTCTCATTGGGGACAAGCACTTGCTTGACATGACAATACGCACCGTTAGGGAAATGGGCGAGGTGGATGCCATCGACGCGTGTGCCGACACTTTTGGCAACCTTGAAGCCTGAGCTTTGTCTAAGTGCCGTTAGGGACAATGCATTCTCATATTCGTATATACGTTGGCCTGGAACCTTGGGCCGCGTGGTGTCCGGCTCCTCCCAGGCGTCATTCAGTCGGCGCAATCGTTCCTGGACAAAACTTGGATCAACGCCTGCGTCATTAACGCTGGTGCTATCGTCTTCTGGCGCGGAGCCCGAATTTCCAACGAGAAACGGTGATTGCGGCAGAGAGCTTTGAGCGTGTTCACTCGGATCATGGTGCTGAAAGCCATGGTGACGATGGGTTCGAGGGGAGCGTGAGATACCGTCCGATTGAGTCTGATGAGGAATCCCGAAAAGCTCTTGTTGCATAAAGCTGTATGAGAGAAGGAAGTGGAGAAGAGGGGATTCGACTGTGCGATGTTAGATAGCACAGCCAATATAACACGGATATTTCTAGTATTGCCGGCGGGGGAGGGCGGGAAGCGTTGCTGCTAAAATATGCGTGTGATGTTGTGCGTCTACACTTCGTCAGGGTCGGGAGGTTTGTGGAGGAGAGAAGTTGGGATGTTTCGTAAATGGCCTAAGGGTCTGCCTCCAGCCCTGCCTCGAAGGCACCTTAGGTCAGCAACCAGGTTAAGCCAATTACACAAGTTAGGTACCTCCTAGACTAAGGTACGAGTTACTTAATTCAAGTATCGATGGTACCTAAGGCAAGCACTTATATAAAACACCAAAGGTCGCTTAGTAAAGACACTAAATAACGATATTGGAAGTTTTTTTAATTTAAAAAACAATAGATTAATTATTAGAAAGTTAAAACGACTACTTATATTAAAGTAAATATATCTATATAAAAATATATAGACAAGGTAAGAAATAACAATAATCTTAGAATGTATATAAAGCTACCCAAAGAAAAAAATTCAACATCTTTCGTTTATTCATGGTACTTATCAAACCATTACGCACATCGACTCCAGAGGGCTGCCTTGGGTGAGTAGGCTACTCAGCTTCCCGTCACCACCACTAGATTCACTAGAATCGAATTGATCCTTCATATTCGGAACGGGCGTGATAATCGTAAATGTACAATCCCATGGTCCGTCACCGGCGCCGCTAGCCCTCTAGAGTCTCTCTCTCCCTTCCCGAATAGACGCTCTCGCTCGTGTTTTTATTTTGCAACACCTATTGCCTTGCTTTCCTTCCACTCCCACACGTCCTCCTCCAACATCTACTCCAAACAAAAAGCATCTCTCCTCTCCAAGTTGGGTCTCAAGTACAAACAAAACGCATTAGATTAAAGGTACCTGGGTATCGGATCTACACCGGCCAAAAAAAGAGAGGCATAGATCCATGTCGATGCCGAGGTTTCGTAACTAGTTTCGGCGGTGGAATTCAAAATATCCTAGGTAGACAACCAGCCGTCTTCGAATATAAGTGACAAGAAAACCCCGGCCGATGCTCACAAATGTCGCGATTTCTGAGGTAGGCTGTCCATGCTGACTTCTATACGGAATAGGTGATGCCTCCTGGATGGGTATCGAACTATAACTAAAAATGAAACGGATGTGGTGTGTAGGTCGTGTGCGTTCGCTCAGTTCCAACCAAGAGAGTTTTCAGCCGCGACTGGCGCCGAGATATTGGCGGTACGTGCCGAGCCACCCATCCCGCTCCTTCCGCTGCCCTGGCTGTCGCGCATGTTACCTGCGACTCCACCATAACCTGGGCTGCTTGTGAAGTCCCGGCTCAGTAACGCGCCGCCCATGAGAGCGGGGCTCCCTGTCTGTCGCATTTCCGAGGGGGAAGACAGAGAGCTACTCCTCTGATGCCTCTGCTTCTTACGCTTATAACGTCGGGCAATGATAAACATAGCGGCACCGTAGGCACCCGCGACGCTAGCAGCGCCCACGGCGATACCAGCCGTCATTCCTTGCTGGGCGCTCGTCGTCTCCTCACCGGGGCCTTGGGGAGCGAACGGGTCATTGTTATTAGGAATGTTGGTGTCCGTGGGGTCGTTCTCGCTACCAGTAGAACCCGGGACGCCTTCCAAGACGGAACCAGGCATTATGCCGATCGCCGGGTTAATCTCCCTTGTCAGGTTGCGGACTAGCGGGTTATCGTGGTTGTACAACGGAGTTGTCGGGAAACTAATGTCATCGCTGAGTTGGGCGATACCCTCTGTGGGATAGTATACCATTGCCTGGGAAGTGATATAACCTAGGCGGGCAATTGTATCATATGGCCTGATGCTGTACATCACAACCCTTTCGAGCTCGAAGCCGCCACCATGCGCAAGCCCCTTCGGGAGGAGGTCGAACATTTGGGACGCAGCTAGGGGCTGGTCCACCAGATGTTGGTAATTTTCGCCAAAGAGGAAGGAGATCTGGATTAGCGTCGAGCCACCGGGTTGCTCCGGCGGTTCCGTCCACGGGGTTATGGCCTTGGGAAGGCTGGTAGGAATTCCAGAAACAGTGGATTGGTCAGCCGTATTGATGGTGCTGGTGGAGGGTTGGATAATAATCGTGGTTGGAAGCCATGATCCCGAGTCGGTGATAGTTCCTACAATGGGAACGCTGGTGAACGTTGGCTTCGTTGTCGTGGAAGACGTAGTCGGCGTGGGAGTACTGGTCGACGTAAACTCAGTACTTGTAGCCGTGGATTCGGTAGTTGACGGCTCCGGCGTGCTAGTCGGGGGTGCAGTCGTCGAGTTTTGAGGTACGGTGAACGTGCTTGGCTCCAAGGTAGGAGATTCTGTCGAAGATACTGTCACATTGGGTGAAACCGTTGCAGACGAGGTGATAAGCGTTACAGACGAAGTGGTAGGCGGCACGCTCGAGGTATCGGTTGTCGTGGCGTTTCCTGGAATGATGATAGTCCCTGAGGTCGTCGAGCTGATGGGGATGCTGCTTGTCAACGTCGGGGTCGTGCCTGACTCTGTGGAATTGGTGATTACAGTAACCGACGAATCAGGAGTCGAAGACGAGCCGGTGCTCACCGGCGGCGGCAAGGTCACACTCAGAACAGGATCTTCCGAGCTCGAAGGAGAACTTGATGGTGTGATCGACGCAGAGACAGACGCAGTGACAGACGGAGATGCCGACAGGGAAGCGGACGAGGTGGGTGCAGTGCCTGGAAACGACGTTGTGCTACCGAAGAGAGACGTCGGCAATAGGGTAGGCAGAATCCCGCTCTCCGACTCCGAGCTGATTCCAGAAGCACTAGTCGCGCTGGACTCAGTAGAGTTAGCAGTCGGAGTGGGAAGGATCGCGCTTGTCACGTCCCCGACGATGCTCGTTAGGTCATCGAGAAGGCCACCTGAGCTGGAAGACTGCGTCACGACACCAGTAGGGGCTAGCAGAATGCCAGAGGATGATGAGGAGAACGTCGTCGTAGGCTCTGGTGCGGACTCTGATGTAGACTCTGGTGTAGGCTCTGGTGTAGACTCCGATGCAGGCTCCGATGTAGGGTCTGATGTAGGGTCCGATGTAGGGTCTGATGTAGGGTCCGATGTGGGGTCTGATGTGGGCTCCGCCGTGGACTCTGCCGTGGACTCAGACGCGGACCCAGACGTAGACTCGGGATCAGATGCGGACTCGGATGCGGACGCGGACAGTGAGGCAGTTGTAGATACTGGCGCAGATGCAGATTCTGATTCCGACGCCACAGCAGACCTGGACGCTGAATCAGAGGCAGATTCAGACGCCGAGGCGGACACGGATACAGGTATTGGCGCCGAAGTAGATGCAGTTTCGGATTCAGTCGCAGAGCCGACAGTGCTCGCTGTTGTGCCAGTCGTCGTCGTCGTCGACAAGGTCCTGTTCGAGGTGGCAGACACCGTCTCCGGTGCAATCGGCACGATTTGACTCAGATCAAGGGGCGGCAGGCTGAGCGATGGTAGGCTCAACGGTGGCAAGCTGATAAGCGGGGGAACTGAGCCTCGCGTGGAACTGAACCCGGCCCTGGCACTTGTCTTCGTCGGCTCGTCAGTTGACGAATCGGCTCCGCTTCCCGAGACCGACCTGGTTGCGGAGAGCGAGCGAGTGGACGAAGTCGGCGTTGTCACGTCATTGTTATCAGGTTCTCCAAGAAGACTGGAGAGAAGGTCAGATATCGTATCCTTCTTCGTCGTGGAGCGGGACGTCAGATCCGCTTCGTCACTTTGGGTGCTCCGCGAAGCTGAACTTGTAATGGTATGGTTTGTAAATTGTCGCTTAACATGCCGCGGGAAGTAGATCTTGGGTCGATTCTGCGGCTCAGCGCTGGCCAACGAGGCAGCGGCCACAACGGCGGCAACAAGCAGTGGGCTGGTCCGCATCGTGGCGTATATTCGACGGTTCCAGCTCGGCGCACAACGGTATCCGTACTGATAAGCTGGTGTTGATCGAGAATTGGCAACTAGGCGAGGTCGTAACTGCGGACGGAGCCGTCGTTAGTCTCTCGCTAGGAGGGCGAGGGAAGGCCCCAACACGACGGCTTACTATGTCAGGGCAATTTGGAACGAGTGTACTTGACAGAAAATGTCAACGAGTGGATGCTATGGAAAACCACACGTCAGTATTTTCGATCTCGCTCGCCGGAGCATGGATATGGATGGGGTACGGAGGGCGTAGGGACGATCCACGGATGATCACTACGGGAAGCAATCCCGTCTAGGAAGGCCTACCCCATCGCGCCCACGGTCCCGTATCACGCACGACGGCCCGACGCCAACACGATCTGCTCACCTTTCGTACAAGCAGTGTATAATAATAATGTGGTTGGGGATTGTAGCTGGTATTTTGCTGCTTAGAATATTCAAATGAGTGGCGCGACGAATAAATCGTCAGCTGGAAACGGGCAATTCAAAGCCAGGCAGTATGGCGTTCACGACGTATCGCACGGGCGATTCCTTCTCAGCGATGCATTGGCGGATAATGGGCACCTCGACGAGTCGCTGGCGACTTTGGGGCAAGTCGTCAGGTCAGGTCCGTGGGTCAAGGCTTCAGAGAGCGAGAGAGAGAGAAGCGGGTTGGCTGCCGCCGAGCTGATTGTCGTCGAAGGGTGCACCTTACGTGGTCGGCGGAAAGGAGAAGAGCGAGCGAGGGACGGAAGAGGAGGGCGGAGGGCGAGGAGCGGGTGAGGTGAAGGGGGTAAATGAGAAACAACACAAGAGGAAAACGTGCGAGGGAAGGAGTGCGAGAGCGAGAGAGCAAGGTCGGGGGTTTCAAGATGCCAAGGCCTCTACGGCCCAGGGGGGGGCTCATTACATGTCGCCCACAGGTCTGCACGGTACCTACGTAGGCGGTATTAGAGGCTTGGAGGGTACCTAATTAGAGCATCTACCGTTGTATGTTTCGGTGTGTATTAAGTACACGCCGGGGGATGTAGCCAGTCAGGGGAGGGAGGGGGGAGGGATTGACGGATGGCCCAGAGTGGGAACGGACCGGGGGTGAGCGGTGGCTAATTACGCGACACTAATCCGAGGGAGGCCTAGCACGGATGGAGGGGGACGATTCCAACCCTCCTCTTTGGGAAATGGTTCAGGACCAACTTTTTCCAGCCCTTCATCAAGATGTTTAAGGCGCTTCTTGTTTCGAGGGGGGGGAGGGTTAGGGAAAACAGACATTCCGGACCATAAACACTCCTTACTAATTGTCCACACCTACCACTACCACTACTACTATTACCACTACTGCCACTACTACTGCCACTGCCACGAATACTACTAATACTACTACTACTTACTACTACCACCACCACTACTATTACGTAGGTAGGTAGGTAGGTAGGTAGGTACCGGTCTAGCACATCCCATGCGATCCAGAATTAGAATCTGTCTTGTCCAAGGTACCTCCTACAAGGGGAGACGCACCGCATTGTCAATACGGACAAGCGTGGCGGCGGAGGAAGAGAGAGGTAGGATCAATGGAATGTCAAAGGATAACCTAATTGACTTAGACACATGCCTGGCTCTGCGACCTTGGTTTTTTTTTTTTCCCCTTCCAACGGTGAGGCCATCCCTCAGCTCTGCTCTGCTTCTCTCCTATCCCGCCCGTCTTTGTGCCATCTCGGTCTCCGCTCGCCTCTTCTCTTGACGACCACTCTACGCATACTATATTTGCTTGGAGAAAGAAATTAATTAATCGCACCCGAACTCTGCCTTTGCACCTACATACTTGCATGTACAGCTGATACGATACCAAGACCAAGATGCCTCGTGGGCCACGGGTATTCATCCTCGCTGTCCAACTCCCGGCTTCCAAAGAGGGTTAGCCCGCCATACCTTATGCATGTGCGTGGGCGCATGCGAGGTGGGATTGAACTATGTGTATGTGTATATATATATATATACATATATATATATATATATTATGTACATGCCTAAGCACACAGGCATGCATGTACACACACCCATCCACATGTATGTACGTTTTTGCTGCCTCTTCCTGGCTGGAGATTCTTTACAAAATTATCCCCGCTCACACGCTCTGGGCTGACCCATTTAGCATTGTTGGTGCCTTGATCAAGTGCCTGTGGTCCTATCTTACGTTAGCGAGTCCCAAATCTAGAGGTCAAGCTAGTCAAACCAAAGCTGTGCCTGTAAGCCGCCCACTCACCTGCCAACCTAGGTACCTACCAGCCTAAGGTAAAGCACCAACTCTGTCCCATTGAGCATAGGTGTAGAGGTCCGACTAGGATAGGTACATTAACCTGCCTGCCTAGACCCAGGCAGGTATGAATGTCAGCATCCCAAGATACCTCTAGTGTGCGTGGTTGAGCTGCCTCCTACGGTGCCTATGTGTAGGCAGGTACTTAAGTCAGGCCACCCACCTACATCACTCACCTACATTACATCAGGTACCCGCCCCCCTGGTAACTTCGCTCCATCTACGGCCATACATACCTACCTAAGTAGGTACGTATATACATGCCTCCGTCTGTATGTAGGCCAGCCAAAATTTTAGGTAAGGCATACCAAGTGTAGACCCTACCGTGTACCTATACATGTGATCAAGGTCCACCGCGATGAGATGCTGGCAAGGAGGGAGGTGGGTAGTGTCGCTTCGGCCCCAACCCTGGCAGATTCATGCGCCACGCCAATTGGTTCGGCTGTCTCAGGAATTGCGCCATGCCGCCATCCCATTGGCCACCCTGAGCCTGCTGCGCCTCACTACCACCTCGAGCAATTTCTAATTTCCCTGGATTGCTCGCTGCCGGCTCAATCTCTCCTCATCCGCACCAACTGCACCACCCGCATCCGTGACGAGCTTCTTCGATTGTCATTGCGACGCGCCTCTTCCCCTCCCCCTCCCCCCAAATTCATGGTGTGGCCGAACGGCTCTCGGTCCGCTCCGTGCACGTATATCACCATGGCCACTATCGCCATCTTCGCCGCCGTCGTCGTCAGGCTCAGTAAACAGCGCCGGCAGTACGAGGTCGCCACGTTAGACGTGCTCGACGAACACAAATCAGGTCTGAGGGCCTGTTAGGTACTACGTAGGTATTATGTCCACTCTTTGTTAGTGAGATCCCGTCATAGTAAGTCGATAAGCCGTTTCATCCCCATTGGATTGTATAGTAGTGGCTCGGAATAGAGGACCCTCTCCTAGGCAATCCTACCACCGTGAGCATCCTCCCATCTAGCAGCCTTTTCCCCCCCCCTTCCGTCCAGAACACGAAACCCACTCCTCTACTACCATTGCGACTGTGTAATAGTCTAAGAGGAGACGTATACATGTTCGCTTACGCATGGATCGACCGGCCAGTCACCAAAAGCCAACAGGAGTAACCGGCCGGAGCGAGAAGGAGGCGAAGAGATCAGACATCCGCCTGGCTGGGAAGCTGGCAAGGGCCGGGCGCGCGGCATTTGTTTCTCTGGCGTTCCCCTCCTGAGCACCCACTCTCCGCGTACATATATCACATGCGCATACCAACGCACGCGTCTTTTCCCTTGCCGCAACTGCCTCAAACCGGCGGGGTGGTGAGATTCGTACATATATACACTTATCGTATAATTTCCCCCGACCAAATCAGGCGATGATGGGCAAATCGTAATAAGGCAACCCCATACACAAGCCGGACCTAGCAGGACGGACCACAAGCCTCGATGGTTACTTGTATCTCTAGCCTCCTATCGTGCTAGACGGAATTCCCGGTCTGCATGCGAGAGATGCGGGCTTCTGTTGCTCTCCCTCGACATCTCCTTTTCTTTGCTCACCCGTTTCTCAGGTTCCATAGACGCTCGCGGACTTACACCCACATAGATATATAGATATATACATAAATACATACAGGTCCACGGTGTCGGGAGCTTGGGTGAACACGAGAAACGCCTGTTTTTAGTTCACCTCGACCATCGGGGGTAAGATGGCGGATCGTTGGACCGTGGGCGAAGGACGTGGATCTTGGTTCTCTGGATGATCCTACCGCGTTACCTACGGTATGTACCCCTTCCCCGTGGCGTGCCCACCCAACCCAGGTTCGTACGTACCATTCATCGTTTTCATCGGCCACGCGGTAATCGGTCTTGGTCTCACAAAATGGAATTGATAAACAATTAGACGACATGAGAAACTCCACCAATGTGGTTTGGCCGGGTTTTACCCATGGCCCCAAGCAAGCGAGCTAGTAGTGGGTGGTCTTACAGAGTCGAGAGCTTTCGGACCCGCGTGTTCCTTGGCTAGCCTCGCCCAGCTTCCTTCTCTCGCGTGCTCGGGACTCCGTCCGCCGTAAGCGTGGCCCCTCCTGTACCTGCGTCCTGCGCGGGCGCGCGACTTGCGCTCGAAGAAGGGAAAAAAAAAACCAAGGTTTCGTGGCTTGAGTTGAGAGAGGGCGAGAGGGATTTCGTTTGTCGGGGATCCGTAGGTAGGGTTCACCATACACCAGATCTCTACTCCACGGCACCACCTCCCAAGCTACCTAGGTCCTCGCAACAGTGTTAGTGCTACCGCGTTCCTGACTAGGTACCTATCGAAAAGCCCAGCCTGCAGATCTCTCGCCGATCTCCCCTACCAAAGGGGAGGAGGTTCAGGAGAGCTTAGCTTTCTGGCTCTCGTCGTTGCCCCTGCTATTTTTAAATACATACGATGGCGATCTTCGGCGCCTGGACTCGAGACACATCCAGGTAGGTATGGCTAAAGAGAACCGCACCGAATGGAGAGTCGTTGGATGTTCTGTGGATGGACAGTGTGACCAGAACATGTGTGTACGCATGCCCGTCCGTGGCATGTAGCAGCAGACGTAGCAGAGAGGTATCGCACGCAATTATCGCGGGGTTGCGCGCTCTACAGCAGGTCCGAGATGCGGAATGCAGACGTAATCCGAAGATAACAGCCC